TGAAGGGACTGGAGAACTCAGGGGGCCTCGAGGCATGTGGGTGAAGGAGCCCAGGCCAGGGGATCCCCTCGGCGTGACCCGTGCAGGAGCCTCTGGAGCTGATGTCTGACCTGTGGGGCCCACAGGGCCTGGGGGTGCTGGGGGCGGAGATGCTGGGGGCGTGGAGGGGGCATGCGTTGGGGCAGGGTGCTGGGGGCAGGGGCTCGTGGGGGCAGGGTGCTGGGGGCTGGGAGCGAGGGGGCATCGGCGGGGCATGGTGTGTTGCGAAAGGTCTCCCTCGGCCCTGCTGGCCCCCCGACAGGCCCTCTCTTCCTCCCCCCACACGGGAGGGCTGCGAAGACCAAGCCCCGACCGGGCCGCACAGACACGGCCTGCGGAGAGAAGGGACGGGGACCGCGAGGGCCAGCTGGAGGCGAACAAGCGTTTTAAGACTTTGGCTAAAAACTCTCGCGTCAAAGGGTAAAAGCAAACCAATTCCACAACGGCGAGGGGTGGCCGTCAGGAGAACAGTTCAGAGTGGAGGGCCTGTAGCTCAGGCGGCGCCGGCGACAAAGCCTTAGGACATTTACGTCAAGAAAAACGGCAGAAAGAAAACAGATGGGGTGAGTGTCCAAGTCACAGATTTAAGGGCAACTCGGGAGGGGCAGCGGCGATGGGCAGCGCAGACCCGAGGCCGCGCCCGGCCCGGAGCAGCGGAGCAAGCGGACTAGCTCCCTGCAGCCCGTGCCCTGGGCGATGCCGTCGCGGCGGCGCAGAACCACGGGCCCGACGCCACGGGAAGGCCGGCGGGCGGCGCTGACCTCGGGCAGGGGCCACGGGGCGGCTGGCCACACCGACTCCCGGACGGAGAGGGCTTGCCGCGCTCGTACCAAAGCCCCGGAGCAGGGAGGCCCAGACGCCGGGCAGCGCCGCGCCGGGTCCCGCTCCTCGCCCGCCCGGGCCCAGGGAGGAAACCGCAGGACGGTGTCCAGGTGCGCCGAGCCGCAGACCCTCACCGCTCACGGGGGAGAGGAGGCGGCCACAGACCTCCCGGCGGCCGTGGGGCCGGACGGTGCAGCCCCTCCCACAGCAGCGGCGCCCGCGTGGGCCTGACGGGGAGAGAAACGAGCCGCTGAGTCCTGGTGGACGGCGGCGGGAGAGGAGCTGCTGCCGCGAGGGGCGTGGGCGGCGGCGCGGGCTGCCACAGGAGCAGGAGCTCAGCCGTTCTCCTCGGAGGCCGCCAGCGGGCGCTGGGCACGGAGGCGTCGAGGGGCCAGAGCCCGCGGGGGTGGCATGAGGGCTCCGTCCTAAAGCAGGAAGGAAGGGGAAGAGCTTCCCCCGGGCAGACGGTGGGGGCCATCGTGACCGTCAGCATCGCCCAGCGCCCGTCCTGTCAGACCCGCCGCGTCGCAGCAAACACAGAAAAGCGCGCAGGCGCCAGCGCCAGGAGTGGGCAGCAGCCCACACTTCCCAGGAAGGCCCCTCCCGGACAGGAGCTGCCGGGACAACCTCTGCCTGCCAGGCTGCTGCTGCCCGGGCCACTCCCCTCCAGAGGCCGCCTGGGCAGGGTCAGCAAGCCCGGCCCTGGGCAGCGCCCTGCCCTGCCCCCACCACCCCTCCCCCCTCCCCTCTCCCTTCCCCCTCCCCTTCATAATAAACCTGCCCTTTTGGAAACAACGAAATGCCTCTGTGGGGACCTCACCAGCTGCTGAGAGGGGAGCTCTGTGAAACTTTCCTCAGGGGGAACCCCAGGACCCGCTCTCTGAACCCCACCCCTCCCCAACATCGCTCAGAGAAACAATGAGCAAGCAGTAGTAGAAAACACGGCGTGGGAGGCGTCCTCGGAGGGAGACCTCAACGCCAGGTCCCTGCGGGGGAGCCCAGACAGGCCCCTGGGGAGGCCGCGGGGAGACTGGGGAGGGGTCACGCGCCCAGGTGGACTGTGGCTCATGGTGTCAGGGCCCCTCCCGCAGGGCCTAGGAACACCGCGCCTGCGCCCACGCGGAAGGGAGGAAAGAGCGTGGGGCGGGCTGGCAAAGACCGGCCAGGGTGGGCTCGCAGCTGCCGGCCGCGGGAGGCCCAGGGTGCGTGGGCAGGGCGGACCCCAAGTGGGGGACGGGCTCTCTGCTGAGGGTGTCTGGTTGTGGGGCGAGCCAGAGGCGGGGAGCTGGGGACGTCACTACGGCCGGGGGAGCAGAGGCTGCGCCGTCCTCTGGGGCTGGGCCGGCAATGGGTGCCAGGTCTTGAAATGGATTTTGTGGGTGCGGTGGCTCTGTGGGGAGCCCCCGCCCATTAAGGCATGGACACGGAGGGGCCTGGGGTCAGGTGGCCATGCTCAGAGATCACATGACCCTCCCCGCGTGCGCAACAGTCAGGGTGATGACCAGGCCCAGAAAGACCAGAAGGCCTCACGGGACCCGCGCTTTGGGGGGCTGGCAGCGCCCAGGCAGATGAAAGCCACCCCATGGTCAGCATTTTTCCCGTCTCAGAAGAACCCCCAGGGCCCGGGACCCCCAGGTTGCTCCTGGAGGCGCCCCCTCTGCCCCCGCTGGGCCTGGCCTCTGCAGATGTCCGGCTCGGCCTCTTCCTGGGAAGCCACGTGAGCGTGCACGCAGCGCAGCTGCTGCTCTCTCTGCAGGCCAAGAGGGGATCCCAGAGCACCCCCAGGGGAGGGGCGGGGCCGGCGGGATGCCTGACCCGGGCCAGTTCTCCCCCGGAGACCCTGGATGAAGCTGAGCGCCCCAAGCCCTCGGTGCTGCGGGTCACGCGCCCTCAGCCTGAGCCGTGGGGAGGCGGTCTGGCGGGTCCCTGAGGCGGGTGGGGCTCCTCACTCAGCCGTGGGCCCGGCTGGCCAGGGCTGTTCCCACGTTTTTCTGAAGAACTCAGAGTCTTGGAGCCAGATGGCGTGTGCGGTTTGGGATCCGAGGAGCAGACTCCACTGACAGCCTCGTTGCTGATTCATGGCCCCCAGGCGCCCCGCCCCCAGGCCCCCCAGGCCCCAGTCCCCAGCACAAGGTCCCCCTCCCCCCGCCCCGGCAGATTCTGCAGGCTCCACCGCAGCTCCCCCGCCTACGCGGCGTGGCGGCTCCCTGCAGCTGCCGGGCTCGACCCTGCCCGGAGCCCACTGGGCCGGGCTCATCTGGGGGCAGCGGGGAGACTCTTTCCTTCTAGGAGCCGCGGCCCCTCGGCCTGGCCCTTTCCCGCCTCCAAGGCGGGCGGCGGCCTCTCAGCCTCAGCTCCCCTCTGTCCTCCGCAAGGCCTCGCCTCCCTCCTCCCCCTGGGTGACACCGGGCCGCCCCGAGAGCCAGGACCCGGGTGCAGAGGAGGGTGGGAGCCGGCCGGGCCGGAGCCGGCCTCGAGCGCCTGCCCTGGGCGGCGGGGGCTGGGCTGCAGCAGGGCGTGGGCGGAGGCCCGGTGCGGGCGAGCTGGGCGCTGAGGGCCGCGCTCCGGAGGGGTCGGTCCACGCCAGGACGCGCGCCGCTGCTGGAGATGGCGGCATTGGCGAGGGTGGCGGGTGAAGGCCGCTGGGGGTGCTTCCGAGGGACAGGGACGCAGCAGCGTCCCCAGCAGCTCAGCAGCCGGCCTGGCGCCCACCGCCCCGCTCCCCACCTGGGGTCAGGGGTCAGGCCCGGCTCAGGCCTCTCCAGACTCCTGGTTCTTTGGGGTCAGTCCAGCCGCAAGGCTGGTGTCGTTGCTGGCTCCAGGCTCAGGCCGAGAACCTCCATTCAGCCCCAGCCAGGGAGTCGGCCCGCCCACGGGCACGCTCCGGTGCCCCAGGAAATCCGCCTCCAGCCCAGAGATGGGGTGCGCTGTGGGCAGACAGGGACGGGGCTTGGGTGCCCCGAGGGGCGTGTCTGGAGGGGGAGGGGCACACAGGCAGCGGGTGCCTGCGGCCTGTGGTGTAGACGTGTAGACCGGCGCAGGGGAGCAGCCTGCCCGCCACCCCCAGCAGCGCCCCCAGCCGTGCCCCCAGCAGCGCCCCTGTTCCACTCGCGCGAGCAGACCCGTGTCCTTGCCCGGAGACGGCTGCCCAGCTCCTGGGAGCGCCGAGTCTCCCGCAATCAAGACGTCGTCGTGTCGGGACCCACGGGGCGGGTCAGCACGTCTGGGCAGACCCCGCGCACACAGCGCACACCCCGCGCCACAGCAGGGGGCGCTCCCCTGGGCGGTGGACGGGAGGGGCCCCGGGAGGGCGCTCCCCGCCCCGCCCGCAGCTGCCGCGGTGCGGCCTCCCGGACCGGGCCCGGCTCCGGCCTGGGGTCTCCTTCACGACCTGCTTTCCCGTGGGTCCTGGGCCGTGGCTCGCCCCACCGGGGCGCCCCTTCCCAGAGGACCGCCTTTCCTAGGGACGAGGCCCCCTGCAGCCCGCAGGACAGGGATCCCGGAGGCCAGGGGCTCCCACCTGCCCTGCCTCGGGGCAGGGCCGCAGACCGTCCTCTGGGGCCGGGTCTCTCCCAAGGTGCCCGAGGTGTCGGGTGCCGGCAATGTGGGGAGGGGCTGACCCCACAGCCCCACTGCCCTGGGGACCGCAGGGGGAGGGTCATGCCCCACACAGGTGGGGGTGGAGGGCCACTCCTCTGCAGGGGCCCTCCTGGGCTGCGGGGACCCTCCCAGGCTTCTGGGGCCCTCCCAGACTTGGGGGACCCCAGGCCGCGGGGCCGTGTCTGGGGTGGGTGGGTGGCACACAGCGGTCATCCAGTGTGTGGCCAGGATGGGGCCCGGTGGGTGGGCGCAGGGTCTGGCTCTCTTGGTATCAGAGGCTGAGATTCGGGGTCTCTGGGAACCCCTGGAACGCGCTCCTTCTGCCTGGGGCTGTTGTCCACGGGATCTGGACGGGCCTGCCCGCCCTGGGTGGGGGGTGCACTCCTGGGGCCGGGGAGTGCCCTTGAGGGGGCCCCGGCCTGATCTGCTTCTGTATCGTGCTCTCATGTCAGGGCCCTCCGGGTGTGGGTGGTCTCCGGGCCCGTCCCCCAGACAGATGGGGGGCCTCCAAGCCCCTCCCGGGCAGCGGGCGGCCGCAGGTTGACGCCTTGGGACGACACGGGGACGAGAGGACCTTTATTCGGAGAAGTCGCCCACAGGGCCGGGTCAGGGAGACGCGGGCAGGAGTGAAACGGCCTCGGGAGGGGCCTCATGAGGGAGGCCAGGGCGGGTGGCCGCGCCTCAGGGACGCTGCGGTGCTTGGGCAAGTGGCCGCAGGCTCCGCTGGTAGCACCTTTCTGAGGGGCAAGGCTGGCAGGAGCCCCTCGGGGCTCTGGTCTTGGGGGTCCTGAGCTCTGGGGCCATGGCAGGAACCGGGGTGGGGGTTCCCCACACTCCCTCGGGCCTTGGCTCGCCTAAGCGGAACCGGCCGGCTCCTGGCGGGCTGTGTGGGGCCTCAAGCCCATGAATCCCTGAACAGAGACTCCCCAGGGCTCCTGAGGAAAATCCACCGGGGGCCTTGGGGGGAGGCAGGCAGCCCCAGCCCCCCCAGGGCCTGGGGGGGCGGGAGGGGCGCACAGCCGCGTCCTGCTCCCCATTCCTGGCCTTTCCCGAGAGGACGGCAGCCAGGGGGGCGGCTCAGGCGGCCGGGTGGGCGGGTCGCGTGCCCATGGCCACCTTCCGGGACACGGTCTGGTAGAGGACGCCCCGCAGCAGCGCCGCGTAGCTGGGCACGCGGAACAGGTGTTGCTCCGCGTACGTCACGTTGTACTCGGCCTCCTTGCCCGTGACCAGGATGCGCAGGTGGGGCTCGTTAGCCTGGCCGCCCACCACCACCACGAAGATCTCCAGGCCGGCCCGCTGGGCCTCCCGCACGGCCTTCTCCAGGGCCGCCGCCGTGGCCCCCTGCGAGTGGCCGTCGGAGAAGAGCAGCAGCCGCTTGACGGGAGCCCCCGGGGAGGCCTCGCGGTAGAAGCGGGTCACGAAGCCCAGGGCGTCGCTCACATCCGTGGCGTCGTTGAAGAAGTCCAGGCCGTCCACGGTGCTGGCCAGCAGCGTGTAGTTCTGCAGGAGCTGCAGGGCGCCGCGGCCGGGCCGCTGCTGGCCGGGGCCGCTGTACTGGGCCACGGCGACGCGCACCTCGTGGGCCGGGTCGGTGCGCGCGGCCGTCAGGAAGCGCTGGGCCAGGCGCTTGGCGAAGTGCTTGGTGGTGTCGAAGTTGTGGCTGCCCACGCTGGCCGAGCCGTCCAGCAGGATGGTGATGTCGGTGGCGGCGGAGAAGGTGACTGCAAGGGGCCCGGGGGTCAGCGCCGGCCGCCCCGGGCCCGCCCCGCCACCGCCCGAGCCCCCACGCCGAGCCCCGCACTCACTCGGGCAGGTGTAATCCGGGCACTTCTTGTCTGTGAGGGAGAGACGCCAGGGTCGTGAGCCGGGCCCGCACCCCGGCCCGCAGGACCTCCACGGGGTGAGCGGGGGGGGGGGGGGGGGGGGCCGCCACGGAAGGCTGGGGCCTGTGCCCTGGGGACGCGCCTGACCCGCCCACTGCCACTGCCTGCTGGAAGGCGCCGCGCCCTGCAGGCCGGAGCGCTGGGCTGTGGGCCTCACCCAGCCCATGGGGGGCCGTGGCCCTGCCGGTGGCTAGCAGCCACCGCCCCTGGGGGACGCGAATCGGGCCCGGTGGCCCGATGCCTGCCCCGTGGACTTGGCCCAGCGGGACGCGGTGCCCTGAGCGCAGGTGAGCCCCGCTGCACCGCTCCCCGCGTGCGCTCACCGCATCCGACGGGGCCACGGCCCGCACCTGAGGCCGCGAGGGAGGGCCCCGGCCTGCTATCGGGGGTCTGAGCCCTGGTGGGGGCCGGGGCTGGGGGCGGCCGGCAGGGGGGGGCTGGGGGTGGGCAGCGGGGTGTCCCGGTGCGGGGGAAGGTGGGGCGGGGCCCGCCCACCTATGCAGATCTGGGCGGTCACGTTCTTCAGGAAGTTGTCGTCCAGCAGGTCCGCGAAGTTGTCCTTCACCAGCGAGATGCCCTGTCGGCCCGGGGTGGCCAGGCCTTGGCAGGAGATGATGTTGAGCTGGTCGGAGCTGGCGCTGGAGCCGAACAGGTCCTTGATGCCCACGGACACCACCTGTGGGGGGCGGTGCTGGCGGTGGGCGCGGGCCGGGGCCTGGGGGGCGGGGCAGGGCGGCGCGGGCGGGGACCTGGCGCGGGCCCACCTGGATGTCGTGGCCACAGAGCACGTTAAGGGGCGTGGGGTCCCTCTGGGTGTCCGAGCGGCCGTCGGTGATGACCAGGGCGACGCGGGGGTTCTGGTTTCTGGATATGACCAGCCGATCCAGGGTGTACTGCAAGGCCTCACCCGTGAAGGTGCCCCCCGCCATCCACTGCAGCTTCTTGATGGCTCTGCGGGGCGACCGCTCTCTCAGTGGGGGCAGGTCAGGGTCGTCCAGGTAAAGTGGGGCTGGCACCAGGGCTGGGCCAGAGCCAGAGCTGGGGCTGGGGCAGGCTTAGGGGCGGGCGGGCCCACGCAGGGCTCAGCTGGGCTGCCGGCCCAGGCGGGGAGCTCACTCTTTGAGGTCCTGGGCGTTCCTGATGCCGGGGCTCCGGAGCTCCACGTGCTCCTGCGTCTGGTTGTGGCTGTACTGCACCACGGCTGCGCTCGACTGCCCCTGCTCAAACTGGGGCGCCCCGCCGCGGTCAGGAGCGCCCCCTCTCCCGCCCGCCCCCCTGCCGGCCCCTGCCGCCCCGCTCCCCCCTGGGGCCGGGTGGGGCTGGCAGGTCTCACCTTGACCAGCTCGTCCCGGCTCAGGCGGTCCATGACCTTGATGACGAAGTCCTTGGCGATCTCGAAGTTCTGCCGCCCGATGCTCTCCGAGCTGTCCAGCACGAAGAGGATGTCGATGGGGCCGCACTTGCACTCTGTGGGCGGGGGCGGCTGAGGGTCAGCCAAGGGGCTGCGGGACCCCTCGAGAGCCCCGCGGCCCCAGCCAGCCTGCCTGCGGCTGGCGGTCAGCCGTGGGAGGGGACGGGGCAGGCCGGGCCGCCGCGGCGTGAGGCTCAGGAGGGCACCGCCCCACCGCCCTGTGTACTCAGCGCAGGTGCAGGCCGCTGGGGGGGCGCTCACCGCAGCACGCTGGGGAGAGGAGAGACAGGCGTCAGGCAGGAGGCCTGCCCGGCCTGGGCCAGCGGCCAGGACGCGGGGGCCGGAGCATGGGTAGGGGGGCGGCCCAGAGCTCGCTTGGGGCACCCGCCCCCACCCCCCCGCAGGGCAGCCGTGGGGGACACTTACAGCACATTTTCATGATGATGTCCAGGATCTCGCATTCCTGGGGGGACAGAGCAGGGGAGGGGCGGTGGGCGGCTGGGCAGGACGGGGCAGGCCGTCTCCCAGGCTGCCTGGTGCCCCCCCAGGCCAGCGCAGGGAGGCGCCTCGAGGACACAGGCACCCGTGACCCCTTGCAGTGCCCCCCGCCCCCCCCCAGACATCCACTTACGTCCGGCCCAGGTGGTCCCATGGGTCCTGGGGGGCCCTGTCAGACAGGAGGGGAGGGCTGTAGGCTGCCCTGTACCCCACTTGCTTCCTGAACTGCAGGTCGGCCGGGCAGGCCCCCAGCCCCCACCCCTGTCCTGTGCGGACCCCTCCTCCCACCCGCACCCCAGCACCAGGCTGCACGAGTGTCTGCTCTCCCACAAGCCCCTCCGGATCGGGGCGCCAGGGGCCATCTGCTGGGCCACGCACACTTGCCCCAGGAAGAGGGGCGCCTGGGGGAATGGGGCGCCGTGGATGGGCACCCAGCTAGGCTGATCTGGACTCTCGCCGCCCCTCCCTGGGCACCAGCCCTGTGGCTCCTCCCACCTCGCCTGCCACCCGCCAGAGCCCCCTCCACAGGGCCCCGCCCAGGCCCGGCTGGCCAAGTGGACTCACCTGGGGGCCTTCAGGGCCCCGGTACCCCTTGGCCCCTTTGGGACCTTGCTTTGCGGGGGTGTCGTCCTGGGGAGAGAGCACAGCGTCACCCACACGAGGTGGGACTGCCCGCCGCCCGCCCGCCGTCTCGCCACCCCTGCTGAGCAGAGCGGCCTCGGCCTCCGCACTTACGTCGTCTCCAGGATCCCCGACTTCTCCCTCGTCCCCCTTGAGGCCGGGGTAGCCCTTCGTGCCCTGCAGGTGACAGGTGAGGTCACTGGGGGGCGCCGGCACCCACGGGAGGCTCAGCAGCCGCTCCCCTCTTTGGAAACGGGTCTGAAGTCAGCTTGACCGGGTCGCGGGCCACAGGCAGCCCCGCCCTTCCAAGGAGAGTCAGAGGTAACGGGGAGCAGCCGAGGGCGAGCCTGAGGGCCTCAAGGTCTAGGGGAGATGGTGCGTCCCCGGGGCCGCCTGGGCCCGCTGTCACCGAGCCCTGGGGAGGGGGGAGGCGCGGGGAGGCCCCCGCATCCAGCCTGTGTGTCTGTGCATGCACGCGTGTATCCTGTCTCCTGTGTGTGCGTGCGATGCTGTGTGCACATGTGTGATGCTGCGGGTGCGCGTGCGACACCGCGTGTGCGGGCACTACTGCGGCCATGCCGGTGGGTACTCACGTTTATCCCGGGGGGGCCCCTGCTGCCGGGGTAGCCCTGCGGGAGAAGGACAGTCAGCCAGGTTCTGGGGGAGGCGGGCGCCTGGCGGAGGGAGGCGGGTGGGGTGGGGTTTGGGGCACTTACCGGAAAGCCGGGGAACCCTTCGGTGCCGTTCCCGGGGGGGCCGTCTTCACCCTGGGGAAGGGGACCGACTCTGGTTGCTGGGACCCACCAGTCTGAAGCCCCGGATGGGCAGACCACCCCGTGGGCCTGCTGCTGCCTCCCTGGACCTCGGGGTGGGGCGTGCCAGGCACCCCTGGGCCCCATGACCGCGGCTCGGGGAGGCTGTCCAGCTGCCGACCGCGGTCCTCGGGTCCTTCTGCAGGCGCTGCCCATAGGCCGTGGCTGCCAGGGCCTCGGCCCAGGGTGTCAGCCCCATGGGACCCTCACTCACCCTTTCACCCATCAGCCCGGGGTCTCCTGGGGGTCCGACAGGTCCTGGGGCTCCTTTGGGACCCTGAGGGGTTTGGGAAAATGAAGTGTCAGCGGGGGAGGCGCTGAGCCCAGCGCAAGGAGCCGAGCAGGCTTCAGCCAGCGGCCTCGGCTCGGGCCCTGCTGCTGGCGGGAGTGGGGGGGACAGGGGTGGCCGGACTCGTGGCCCGGCACACCCCGGGGCTGCCCGGGGACTGAGGACAGCAGGGAGCGCCCCCGCCATCAGGGGCGAGGCAGCTGCTGGCAGGTCCAGGGTGATTTGAGAAGTGTTGAGGCTTAAGCGTTCACGGTGATCACAAAAACCATGTGAACCCCAACTCGTAAGACGTGACCCGCAAGGAAAGTGGTGGAAGCCAAGCCAGGGGATCCCCATGCCGGCCAGCGGCTTGTCTCCAACTCCCGCTCCCCGGGCTGCTGAGAGCCCCACGCGCCGTGGACCGAGGTGAAGGTGCACCCGTGTGCGTGCAGGGCCCCCGGCTCACCTCGGACCCCGGCGGCCCCTCGTCACCTCGGTACCCCTTAGGCCCCAGGGGCCCGGCCTCGCCCTGCAGAGAGAGGAGCACAGCTGCTGGACCCATGGCCGGCCCCCGCGCCTCCGCCCCCTGGAGGCGGCTCCCTGGCCTTTATGGCGCAGGCATGTGGGGCCCTGCAGGTGTCCAGCCAGGCCCAGGAAGGGGGCGCAGGGCCCGCCTGGCCCCCTCGCCACCAGCCGCGCCAACTCGGAGGTGGGTGCCTCCTGACCAGGGCCTGTCTCGAGGGCTGGCTCTGTCCCTGCTTCCCCACAGACCCACAAGCCAGGCAGGCGGCGGGCGAGGCTGCCCCACAGTCAACAGGTGGACCTCTGGGACCCGCAGCCCCGCCCCGCCTAGGGGGCACGGGGGAGGGGCGGTCAGAGGCCTGGTCTGAGCAGACCCCCGCCACGCTGGCCTGCTCACATGTCCTCAGCGCTGCCCGGGGTCGCTGCCCGGGGTCCCCTCAGGCCCATCCCCCAGACCTCATTCACAGCAAACCCGCTGCCCCAAGGTCTGTGGGGGGGCCCGTACGTCTGCGCAGAGTTGGACCCCCAACATCGCCAGGTGCAGCTGGGAGGTCGCCGCCCTGGACCGCTGTCTGAGCCGGCAGAACCTCCAGCAGGGCGCCCACCTGGGGCTCAGGCAGCCTCACCGTGCCCGGGCGCCCCCCTCGGGTGGCCGTGAGGCGCCGGGAGCACCCCGCTCCAGACCGACCCTCGTCTACCGCGGGCTTCCCACCTACCGGGTCCCCGGGGACGCCAACAGGGCCTTCTCGTCCCTGGTCACCTTGGGGTCCAGCGTCGCCCTGTGGGGGGACAAGCTGGTGAGACACGGCCTGGCGTCGCGGAGCAGGCCGGGAGGAGGCCGGCGGGCCACAGGCCAGGCAGCTCCCGGCCAGCTCTTCTCCAGGGGACCTCCGTGGGGCCTGGGCGTGGACCCCCTCTGGGCGCTGGCAGGTGGCCTTGGGGGTGAAGCCTGCTACCCCTGCTTCAAGGGCCCTCGCTGACCCCGGCAAGGCTGTGGGGCCCTGGGGAGCCCCAGAGAACAGGGTGGCGCCCGGAAACCTGTTCCCTGCCTGTGACGTGGCCTCTAGCTGAGCTCACTCCCCCACTGGGCCCGCCGGGCTCCGGCCCGGAGAAGCACTTGCGGCCTGATCTGGGCAATCGTGGGGGGCCATGTGGCCGGCACCCAGGTTGTGGCGGGAGGCCTGAGCGATGGGCTGGGGTCCGTGCCGCCTTCCGGGCAGTGCCAGGCTGGCACACTCTCCCTGACGACCTCGGGCCGAACAGCCTCGCGGCTCGGGATGAGGAAGGGGCTGTGGGGTGGGGAAGGGGGGGTACGGGGGGGGCCTGGGGACAGCAGCGGCCCCGCCTCGGCCTCCCGGCCCCACCCCGCCGGCCTGTCCCTCCCGGCCGGGGCTCGAGCCCGCGCTCCTGCTCTCCGAGTTCCGACGAAGACGGCTACTCTAGAGAGGGCGGCGTGGGCAGGGCCCGGAGGGTCCCGGCGGGCGTCTCCGGCGAGCGTGAGGGCCGAAGCCGGGCGCGCCCCTGCAGCCGGCGAGAAGGGAATGACCCTCCCCCAGCGCGAGGTCCCAGGCGCCCCTCGCGGTCCAGGCGCCCGGCGGGAAGGGGACTGGGGCCTCTGCCCGCTGCGGCTCTGGGCTGGCGGCCTGGCTGCCGGGAGGGGTGGGGGGGCGGGGGGGCCGGCACTAGGGGCAAAGGGCCCCGTGGCCCGTGGTTCTCAGCCTGACCCCGCCTGGCCTCCGTCCTGCCCACCGCCAGACTCACCGGGTCTCCTCTGGGGCCCCGCAGGCCGGGGGTCCCCCGGGGTCCTCTTTCCCCGGGGCCGCCCTATGTGGAGAGAAGCGGGGCGAGCTGCAGCGCGGGAGGGCTCAAGGCCGGGGCCCGCCCCCCTGACACTGCCCTTCCAGGCCCCGGGCAGGTGGCCCAGGTTGCGCCGCGGGGGCTTCGCCCGGAGCGCCCAGAAACTCACCCTCTCTCCAGGGGCCCCGTCCGGTCCTGGGTTTCCCTGGGTTGGGGGGGACACAGCGTTACTGGGGTGGGTCTGGGGAACCGGCCCGTGGGGGCGAAGCCAGGTCTCTCACCTCATCTCCGGCTTCTCCCTTCTCTCCGGGGGGGCCCGGCTCTCCTGGCTCGCCCTGGGGGAGAACAGTGTGGCTGGCCCGTCCCTGAGCGGCGGGTCCCACGGCCCTCCCTGAGCCGCCCGGCCCGTGCCCACTCACCTCGTCTCCCGGAGGCCCCGTGCTCCCCGGCCGCCCGGGCTCCCCGTCGGCTCCAGGCTCGCCCTGGGAGGTCAGAGGGGTCGGCAGCCGGACTCAGCCTGCGGGAGGCCACCCCAGGCCCATCCTGGGGCAGTGAGCCTGGCCGGCCACCCGCGGACACCGGGCTGCACCCTGACGCGGACCCGCCCGGATCCCTTCCCCTTGCTGCTCGGGGTTCGGACCCGTCCCGGCCGAGGCCCGCAGGCCCAGCCAGGCCTCTCTCCCGGGGCTGGGGGCTGGGAGAAGCTGCTCGGGAATGCCCCCCCAGGGCCCCCAGCTCCCCTCCCCCCGGGTTCCTGCCACTGACCTTTTCTCCTTTCAGCCCAAATGCACCCGCATCGCCCTTGGGCCCGGGGGGTCCTTGGAGGCCCTGGGGAGGACACGCGGGGGTCAGGGCGCACCCCACAGTGGGAGCCGGAGGGCTGGCGCGGCCGCTGGGGGCCGCCCGCCTGAGGACTCGGAGGAAGCCACTTACCTCGAAGCCCGGTGCGCCCTTGCAGCCCGGCAGGCCCGGGTAGCCAGTCTCGCCCTGGAAGGAGCGAGGGGTTGGGGCCCAGCCTCTGCCCTGGCCCCCGCCTGCAGCCTGCCCGGCCAGCTGCCCCGCGGCGGGGCCCACCGGACGTCCCCTGCCCCGCCCAGCGAGGCCGCCCTGCCGCCCGTGAGCTGGCGTGGGCACTGCTGCCGGTGCTTCCCAGGGCTGGCCCCATGCGCCCCTGCTCACCTTCACGCCGTCCAGGCCGTCCACGCCGCGCCTGCCCTTCTCGCCCTGCAGGTGCAGCGGAAGGAAGGTCACGGGAGGCCGCCGCCCCGCCCGCCCGCCCGCCCGCCCGCGCCAGGCGCGGCCCCACCTGCCGCACTCACCTTGTAGCCCTTGGACCCCCTGGAGCCCTGGGGACACAGAAGAGCGGGTGAGGGCACGGCCCTCCTCTTGCAGGGTCCCCAGTACCCGCCGCCCCCTCCCTGCTCCCTGCGTGGGTGCCGGCCAGCCCCCCAGCCCTCCTGGGGCCGCCACGCCGCGGTGGTCGTCGGGATCGGGGGTCAGCGCCGCCACGGCCCCCGCTCGTGTCCTGAAGGTGGGTCTCGCTCACCTTCTCCCCCCGGCTCCCCTTCTCTCCCTGCAGCAAACAGAAGGGGAGGCGTCATTGCCGGCCCTCGCCCTGGGCCACCCACCGCGGGGCCCTCCCCCTCTGCCCTGCCGCCTGCGGGGAGGGCACTCACCTTCATGCCCTGGTAGCCGACGGGGCCGAGGTCCCCGGGCCGTCCCTGGAACACAGGAGGGCGAGTCAGACACCTCTGGGGAGCCCCCCGCCCCGCCCCCGCCCGCTCAGGCCCAGAGGACCGAGACCCGGTCGCCGAGCGGCGGCCGGGCTGCTGGCCATGCCTGGCGGGAGCCCCGGCAGCAGCCCGTCTGCAGCCAGCGCCCGGGGAGGCAAGGTCTCCCCCCGGGGAGGCGGGGCCCCTAGGAGCAGGCCTGGCCGGGAGGCCTGGAGGGTGGTGGGTGTGGCTGTGCCCGGCACCCTCCGCTCCAGCACCCGTGGGGCCGCCCACCGGGCTCCGGAAGCGGCCGCCTTCCAGGGGTTTCTGTGGCCACAGGCTTCTCAGCGCCGCCCGCCGGGGTGGGCACTCACCGGCTCTCCCGCTTCTCCTTTCTCTCCCGGGAGCCCCGGCTTTCCTCGCTCTCCCTGCAGTGCGGAGGTCAAGGTCAGCGTGCTCTCCAGCTGGCACCCCCGCCTCAGCTGTCAGGAGCCCCTGTGACCGCGCCGTCTGGGGGGCTGTCTGCTCCTCCACCCCCCGGGGTGCATTGTGGGGCTGCCCCATGGCTGGCTGGGGCCCTGGGCCCTCCCGCCTCCCGCCCTAGACCACGTTCTTGCTGTGGCACAGGGCTCCCTGCTGGAGGTGAGGCGGCACCCCAGGAGGCACCCTGAGGCTCCGGGGCCTTTCAGGAGAAGCCAGCAGTCAGGGCGCTCATGCCCCATCACCCACGTTGCAAACATAGCAACTCCAAGTCTCCCCGTTGGCCACACCCGGCCTTGGGCCCCAAGTGTGCATCCCGTCTCCCTCTGCTGGCGCCCAGCCACGAGGGAAGCCCCCCTCAGGAAGGATGGGTGCCCTCCCCGGGAAGAGGCCTGACCAGGCCCCCCTCAGCCCTTGGCCACCACCAGGGCCCAGGGTCACTTTGCTGGGACTCTCCCCATGGCTGGACCACCTGTCCGACAAGGTGCCTCTGCAAAGCCCCAGCCCAGTGTGATGGCCACTGCCTGAGAGCAACTCACCTCATACCCGGGGTCACCCTGCAGTCCTGGCGGTCCTCTGGCAGGCTGCAGGACAGGAGGAACGGTCAGCCCAGGTGGGGCAGTGCAGTCAGCCCGGGCAGCGTGGATGTTCAGCCCAGACAGGGCAGAGCAATGTGGACAGTCAGCCCAGGCAGAGCAGATGGTCAGTCCAGGCGGGGTGGAGCAGTGTGGATGGTCAGCCCCGGCAGGGTGGATGGTCAGCCCGGGCAGGGTGGATGGTCAGTCCAGATGGGGCAGGGCAGTGTGGATGGACAGCCCGGGCAGGGTGGATGGTCAGTCCAGATGGGGCAGGGCAGTGTGGGTGGACAGCCCGGGCAGGGTGGATGGTCAGGCCAGATGGGGCAGGGCAGTGTGGATGGTCAGCCCGGGCAGTGTGGATAATCAGTCCAGATGGGGCAGGGCAGAGTGGATGGTCAGCCCAGGGGCGCAGGGCAGTGTGGACGGTCAGCCCAGCGGGGGGCAGTGTGGTGGGACACTCACCTGGCACTCGAAGGAGCAGCACTGCAGAGGGAACAGCCGCAGTCAGAGCGGGTCAGGGCGGGGCAGCCCGCCGCCTGGCCCGAGCCCCGGGTAGGTGGGGGTGGGGCGGGCAGGGGGCCGTGGGGAGGGGCCTTACCACTTGCTCCACGTTATTTTTCTGAAAAGCGAAAGGGGAGCCCAATGAACGTCTGCTCCCGGCCACCGGGTCCGGGCGGGGCGGGCGGGGCGGGGCCACTCACGATCATGTCGGTGATGGTCTCGATGGTCTGGGCGATGGCCAGATCCACGTCGGAGTTCTGGCCCAAGTCGGCCGCGGTGAAGTTGCGCCGGTACGTGTGGTCCGTGGCGATGATGCTCAGACGTGGCTCCTGGGGAGGCGATGAGAACAGGGGTGACGGGGGTGAGGGTGGAGGGGGTTGAGGGGCGAGGGGTGAGGGGATGAGGGGTGAGGGGTGAGGGGGTAAAAGAGTGAGGGGATGAAAGGTGAGGGAGTGAAGGATTGAGGAGATGAGGAGTTTGAAGGAGTAAGGGAGTAAGGGGGTGAGAGGGGAGGGGTGAGAGGTGAGAGGGTGAGTGGATGAGGGGTGAGAAGTGAGGGGCTGAGAGGGGTGAGGGAGTGAGAGGGTGAGAGGAGAGGGGGTGAGAGGTGAGGGGATGAGGAATGAGGAGGTGAGAGGGTGAGAGGATGAAAGGTGAGTGGAAGAGGGATGAGGGGGTGAGGAGTTTGAAGGGGTGAGGGGATGAGGGGGTGAGAGGGTGAGGGAATGAGAAGTGAGGGGGTGAGGGGGTGAGGGGGTGAGAAGGTGAGGGGATGAAAGGTGAGTGGAAGGGGCTGAGGAGTTTAAAAGGGTGAGGGGATGAGGGAGTGAGGGGGTGAGAGGGTGAGGGGATGAGAGGTGAGGGGATGAGGAGGTGAGGGGATGAGGGGTGAGAGGGTGAGGGAATGAGAGGTGAGGGGATGAGGGGTGAGAGAGTGAGAAAGTGAGGGGATGAAAGGTGAGTGGAAGAGGGCTGAGGGGGTGAGTTTAAAAGGGTGAGGGGATGAGGGAGTGAGGGGGTGAGAGGTGAGGGGATGTGGAGGTGAGGGGGTGAGGGGATGAAAAGTGAGTGGATGAGGGGTGAGGGGGTGAGGAATTTGAAGGGGTGAGGGGATGAGGGGGTGAGAAGGTGAGGGGATGAGGGGTGAGAGGTGAGGGGTTGAGGGGGGTGAGGGGTGAGAGGTGAGAGTGTGAGAGGTGAGGGGGTGGGGGGGTGAGAGGAGAGGGGTGAGTGGATGAGAGGTGAGGGGGTGAGGGGGTGAAAGGTGAGAGGGTGAGTAGATGAGGGGTGAGAGGTGAGGGGGTGAGGGGATGAGGAGTGAGGGGTGAGGGGGTCAGGGGTGAGGGGTCAGGGGTGACGGGTCGGGGTGAGGCCGAGGGCGCGGCGGGGCGCGGCCCTACCAGGTGGTCGGGCTTGACGGCCACGGAGAAGACCTTGACGCCCAGGTGCTTGGCCTCGTTCACGGCGTCCTCCAGGCCCCCGCACGGCTCCTTGTAGCCCTCCAGGGGGTGTCCGTCCGTCACCACGATCAGGTACTTGTTCTCCCTCAGGTGGGAGCCCCTGGGGGTGGCGGCGGTGAGCTGCATGGGCCGGGGCGGGGCGGGGCGGTGGGCGGGGCCAGGCGGGTCTGGGCGGGGCCAGGCCGGGGGGGGCCAGCGGGTCTGGGGGCGGGGCCGGGGGGTCTGGGGCGGGGCCAGCGGGTCTGGGGCGGGGCCGGGGGCCGGGTGGGGTGCGCAGGCGCCTGCTGCTCCCCGGGACGCGCGTCTGCTCCCCCCCCAGTGTGTGGGGCCGGGAGCGGCGGCTTATGGACGGTCTCAGGCAGAAAAGGAGCGTTTGCGGGGTCCTGGGAAGTGCGCGCGCCCCTTGAGAGGCGGGGCGTCCTGCACAGGCCCGGCGCGGCGGGGGCGGCTGGGGCTCCGTCCACCCTGGGCCGGGCACCGGGCCGCGCGGCCGCGGGGGCGCGGGGAGGGGCAGCCGGCCCGGCCCCTCCCGGTCATCGGTGGCCGGCGCGGCCGCCCCCTCGGCCCGCGTTCACCTGCGCCCGGGGTCGGGCGCAACCTCCGAGGGGCCGCGAGGGTCCCGGGCCGCGGGCAGGCGGGGCGGGTCCCAGCGCGGCCGGGCGAGGTCTCTGTCTGGGGCCTTCGCACGCGGGTGGGGGTGGGGGAGGGGGAGGGGAGGGAGAGGGGTGGGAGGGGGGGGAGGGGAGGAGGGGGGGGAGGAGGAGGAGGAGGGGGAGGCAGAGCCTGGCCCCGGCAGGGCGTGGGGCGGGTGGCGGCCCGCGGGGCGTGGCCGGAGGGCGCAGGGGCCGGAGCCCGAGGGCGGGGCGGGGGAGGGGCGTGGCCGGAGCCGGAGGGCGTGGCCGGAGGGGCGGGGCCGGAGCCGGAGGGGCGGGGCCGGAGGGCGGCGGGCGCTCACCCCACCAGCAGCTGCTCCAGCCCGGTCTTGATGGCGCAGTCGGTGTAGGTGCCCTTCCCGAAGTACTCGATTTTGCCCACGCGCTCCTTGAGCGCGTCGCGCTCGCGGGGCATGGGCCGCAGGTCCTGGATGATCTCCACCTCGTCGCTGTAGTGCAGCGCGCCCGCGTTCCACACCAGGTTGCGGTCGCAGCGGTAGTACCTGGGGGCGGGAGCAGGTCACCTCCGGCCCCGCGGCCCCCCCTCCTCGGCACCCCTCTTTCACCGCTGGACAGAATGGATGGCCCTGGGGTGCTGGGTCCCCGGCCCCGGCCCGCACAGGGTGAGGGCGGGGCGTGCTCAGGCGGCCTCGCCGGCGAGTGACCACCTTGTCCCCTCATCCTGAGGGCCCGCAGGAGCCAGCGATGCGCCAGGACTTGCTTCCGTGCGTGGGCAGCAGCCGCGGGGTGGGGGGACCCATGGGCAGCAATGGGGTGGGGGGCACAGGGCCTCCCGGGGTGCCCCGAGGGTTTGGGGTCTCCCCTCTGCCCCCATGCACCTGGCCTGAGGCGTCCCTGCCTGGGCGTGGGGCAGCCGCAACCCACAGCCCTGATGCTGGCGGGGGCTGGGGCCCATCTGGCGAAGCCGGCTGCCCAGTCTCAGGACAAGCCCCCCTTTTGCAGGAGGGTAAACTGAGGGAGGCCAAGTCAGCGCCAACCCTGGCCCACATGGCTGCTCAACACCCCGCCGCAGCGCCACCACACCAGAGCCCGTGACCTGGCATTAGGGTGGCAGGAGCCTAGGGCCTGGTCAGTGGGTCAGCAGGGACGGGGCAGGGCCTGCGCGGGCGGGGTGAGCCTGGCGGGTGCAAGCCATGTCCTGCCCCGCCCATGGTGCAGTGAATGAGCCAGCATGTGAGGTGTGCGCCCCCAAACCTGGAACAAGCCTGGCAGTCCCCCAGCCCCTCTTCGGGACGCAGGGGGGCGCAGGATATGGGTTCTGACTGTCCACGTTGGTGGCTGACAAAGGACACTCTTCCAGGCAGAGGCCCCAGCCTGGGGCAGCTCCCTAACCCGCTCAGGTTTCAGGGGACCCTGCCTCCACCCCACATTTCCCTAGGCCCTCCCAGCTGACCCGTGCCGCCCGCCAGCCTGCCTTGTCCAGCCCGTCTGCCCACCAAGGACGCGGGCAGGGCCGGGCCGGGGCCGGGCTCCCAGGGCTTGGGGGAGAGGGGTGCGCCCGGGCCCACCTGTCTCTCAGGTTGTCAATGAAGCTCTTGGTGAAGTCCTTGATCTTGTCCACCAGGGCCCCGTAGGGCTTCAGCCTCAGGGCCACGCTCTCGGAGGTGTCCAGCACGAAGAACAGGTCCACTGGGCAGTCTGGGTGGCGGGAGGGAGGCCAGACTCACGCCTGCTCCGCCGCCCGGGCCACCTCACCCAGCCGCGCCCAGAGACCCCCTGAGCCGGGCCCAGGAGGGTGGGTGTGGGTACTCCCCCTCCCCCATGCTGAGCCCTAAGGATCCTTCGGCTGCAGTTTGAGCCCCAACCCTCTGGAAACGGGCATCCCCCGGTCGGCGGCCACCGTCTCCCATTGGCTTCCAAGGTGAATTTAAGCTACAGGGTCAGGGGGCAGGAGCCTCAGAAAAGGGGTGTGAGCCCAGGTGGCGTGTTTCTGGACGGACCCCCAAGGCCTAGGCTGTGGCAGAGGGGGCTCCCCTCTCAGGGCCCAGAGGTGGACCCCTCGGCAGTCGGCAGGCTCGAGTGGCCGGCCAGGGCCTTGCCGGCGGCCGCCGGGACGGGGAGGGGAGCCGTCCCCCCGGCTCTCGCGTCCAGCCTGTCCCTGCCCCGCCGCTGCTGGGCGCGGGCGGCAGAGCCCACGGTGGTCACCCACCTTGGAAGGCGACAGCCGGGGTGGCCGGGCCATTCTGAGCGGTGGCCCAGTAGGCCTGCAGCAGCAGGGGCAGCAGGGCGCGGGCCGGCCTCATGGCCTCGGTGGCCGGGAGCTGGGCAGGTCCTGCGCGGCAGGGAGAGTCCCGGCTCTGGCTCCCGCCTGCAGCTGCAGCCGGGCGGAGGGCGGGCGGAGGGGCGGAGCTGGGACTGCGGAGGGGGCTCCTGCGGAGGGGGGCTCCCGCCACGGGCTGAGTCACCCGCGCCCGCTGCCTGGCGCGGGAGCCAGCCCTCGGGCCGGGCCGGGCCAGCACCGCCCGCCTGAGTGACTCCCTGCACTGCCGCCGCAGGGCTCCTGCCCGCGCGAAATCCAGGGTGAGCGTCTGGAAGGAATGTGGGAGCCAGACGGCTCCCTGGAGGCATCCTCCTGCGGGCGAGCGGCCCCCCGGCCCCCACTCCCCGCGCCGCCCCGTGCCCTGCGGGCCCACTCCCACCCCACGGCCCCCTCGCGCCCCCCGCTGTGCTGGGGCAGTGTCCGGCGTTCCCGCCTCCGGGAAGCACAGCCCACCCGCCTGAAGCTCAGGGATGTGTCTGTGAGGGCGGGCCGGGGGGCTGGGGGAGGGTGAGAGCTGGGGGCCTGGTCCGGCATGGGTCAGGGCCCCGCCCGGTGGGCTCCGAGTGGCCGGACCCACCCCTGCCCCGGGGAAGCTTCCAGAAGGCCATCTGGGCCGAGCAGCTGACACTCGTTGGCCTCAGCGTTTCCTAGCGTTCAGGCGCGCAGAGCTGCTGGGCCGTAAACCGGGAAGACCCCAGAAGCCGCCCGTCCTGGGCGCCGCCCTGGGGTCCCTCTGAGGCCCCACGCCTGCCGCAGCACCGCCACCTGCTCGCAGGCTCCGGTCCGAGGGGCTCTGGTGTCTCCTCGCCCGAGGGCCGCGCGTGCGTCCGGCCACCCCTGGGAGGGCCTCGCGGGGCCTGGCCGAGGGTCAGGGTCCGGGTGCTGGGGAGGGCGGCTTGGAAGCCCCTCGCTGGAGAGAAAGGGGTGGGGCAGGGCGCCGGGCCGACCCTGTCCTCCCGGCCCCAGGCCTGCATGGCGCAGGGGCGCTGGCGAGCTGGGAGCCCGTGTCACAGGCACCCCCAAAAGGCGACTTCAAGAGATGGGGGATGTCGGCCGGGCAGAGCTGGGGGTGCAGGGGGCACGGGTCGCCTGCGGGTCTGAAAGGCAGTGGGGCTGCCCCGGGCCTGTGGGGGGGGCCGGCCTGGAGACGCCCAGAGCTGGGCCGCGCGGGCGCCGGGGCTCCACTTGCAGAGCGCAGGGCCGGGCAGGACTCCCCGTGGTCTCGGTGCGTGTGTCCGTGTGCACGGTCCGCCCATGCGTGTGCAGGGGTGTCCCTGCTTGCAGGTGGTCAGTGTGCATGTGTGTGCAGGCGTGTGCGGGTGTGTGCAGACGTGTGCGGGCATATACAGGCATGTGCGGGCGTATACCGGCGTGTGTGGGTGTATACAGGCATGTGCGGGCATATACTGGCGTGTGCAGGCATGCAGGTGTATATAGGTGTGTGCGGGCATATACAGGCATGTGCGGGTGTATACAGGTGTGTGCAGGTGCATGTGGGCGTATACTGGTGTGTGTGGGTGTATACAGGTGTGTGCAGGCATGCAGGTGTATACAGGCATGTGCGGGTGTATACAGGCGTGTGCGGGCATGCAGCTGTATACAGGTGTGTGCGGGCGCGCCTGTGTGCGTGCACCTGCACGTGTACCTGTACCTGCGCCCACCCGTGCCTGGTGCCCACATGCACATCTACACCTGGGGGCCCGTTTGCCGACACCTCGGGTCTCTGAGGGGCTGGGCTGGTGGGCGTGGGGTGCCGGGACCTGGGGTGCCCTGGACAGGAGCCCTCCCTCGGTCCCCAGGGAACGGCCCCTCCTCTCTCTCCCACGCCTGGTTTCGCGGGACGCGGCCCTGGGTGCGGTCGGGGCTTCGGGAACTGGAGAGCGGGAGGAGCCGGGAGGAAGGAGTCAGGGACTGAGGCCGCCTTTGTCCCCTCGGAGGCGGCAAAAGGAGAGGGGGCGCCGCGGGAGCAGCCCCTGCCTCCCTCCCGTTCAGCCGAGGTGCCCCCCTTCCCCCGAAACGTGGCCGGCGCAGAGCGGGCGGCTGGGCTCCCGCAGGGTGGACGCAGGGGCGCCCCAGGGTCCGCGGGGGCAGTGGAGGGCCAGCAGAGGAGGGGCCCACCAGACCCCCACACTGGCCTCTAGGTGCCCTAGGGGTGACCCCCGGGTAGCCCCATAGGTCAGCCCCCTGACAGGTGAAGCCCCCGTGACTGATGTGGTGCCTGCTTGGGTGTGGGTCCCCCAACCTCCCTGACCACACCCCCTTGCCGGCCTGGGAAGACCAGGTTCCACAGCCCCAGGCCTGTCACCCCACGAGGAGCCCCAGGTCCTGTGTGCCCCGTGTCTGCAGCACCGTGTTCATGCTGCAGCACCTGGAGCCGCGGCCTCTGCACCCCCAGCTCCGGTCACCCCAGGCCTGGCTCGAGGCGGGGCCTCACTGCGTGGCCACCTCAGCAGGCTCTGGTCGGAGAGCCCCTGGGCTGTCCCTGCAGTGGCCGCGGCCAGGCCTCCAGCCTGAGGGAGCTCCCTGGGCTGGAACCGCACTTCCAGGGCCCGGCACGGCCCTGGCCCACCTGCCGTCCAGATGGGGAAACTGAGGCATGTTGCAGCCCAAGGCCACATGGCCCGTGAGAGGCCCCCGGGGACGGGCCAGGCTGTGGCCACAGCTGCCGGGGTGCGTGGAGGCTGGGCAGGGTCTGCTGGAGGCGGGTGAAGGGCCAGGGCGCCAGGTGCTGCCCTGGTCATAGGAGGCCCCGGGGGGAACCTCCTCTGAGAGAAGTCGGGGGCTTCCATGAGAGGCCACGAGCCTTCAGGATGACGCAATGACCGCTGAGCCTGCAGACGGGGCTGGAACCCGTCTGGGGTGACAGGACCCAGGGTCAGGCGACGCAGTGGGGTGTCAGGGCCCACCCTCCCGAGGGCTGTGGGTGTCACGTGCCCCTTCCTGGGGTGTGGGTGAAGCTCCTGTAGCCCCCGGACCCACCCAGGTCCTGCTGGCAGCTGTTGACAAGGCCCCTCTGGTCTGTCCCCGCCACTGGGTCCTTCTGACTCAGGGCAGGGGTCACCGCAGGACACGAGTCAGTAGTCCCATGGTCACGCGCAGGGGTTCCCGGGCGATGGACACTGGTGTGGCCGGGGCTGTGGCAGGTTCCCAGCCCCTCCCTCCCTCCTGCCCTGCTCAGCCTGAGGCTGCATCCTCGGTAGCCAGGACCCCGGGCCTGGGAGGTGTGGGGGTCAGTCCCAGCCCGGCGGGCTGCACTGGGGGCAGGGCGTGGCCACGGCTGTGTCCTGCAGGAGTGCCCTGGCCAGTGGGCTCCAGGCCTGCCCACCACTCACTGCCCACCACCTGCAGCCAGGCTGCTCAGCTGTGGCTGGGGGCACCCTCGGGGGGCTGTGTTGTGGGGGGCACTCGGGGGCTGTGTGGCTGCAGCAGCTGTGGCCCCCACAAGAGTGTGGCTGACCCCAGGGCCGCACTGGATAGGGCGGCTGGCCGTAGGGCTTGAGGGTTGGGGCCCTCTCTGTGTCTGCCCTGCGGGCCGGCGGGGAGCCAGGACCCCCGGGGAGAAGCGCCAGCGCGTCTCGGGCGAGGCCGGGGCGCCCTCTGCTGCCCAGCGGGGCACCCGTGCTGGCGGCCATGCCAGGCCCCGCCCCTGGACGCCCTCGGGCCGGATGCCCCAGAGCCGGCTCGGGGCGGCCACCCCAGGCGCCCTGCGCGGCGGCCCGGCGGGGGGGGGGGTCGGGGGGGGCCGGGAGCCCTTCGGCCCGGGGCTGCGAGGGGCCTCGTCGGGAGGGTCAGGCGCTCGGACGCGGGGGGCACAGACGACCAGAGCCAGCGGGCAGCGCGTTTTGGCCCAGGCGGCGCCCGCCCCGGCTCGCAGCCCGCCCCCTGCCGGTGAGGACCGGGCCCCCACCCGTCCTCCGGGCCCGGGCAGCGGGGACCGGCCGGAGGGTCCCGGGAGGGGCCGCCGGGCAGGACAGCGGCTCCTGCAGCAGCGGCGCGGGCAGCGGGCGGGGCGGGGGCGGGGCCTGGCGGCGGGGGCGGGGACTGCGGGCGGGGCCTGGCGGCGGGGGCGGGGACTGCGGGGCGGGGCCTGGCGGCGAGGGGCGGGGCCGCATGCCGGGGGGGGCGGGGCGGAGAGGCCGCGGCAGCCGCGGGGCGCGGGTCTGTGCTCGGGCGGGCGGGCGGGCGGCCAGCGCGGCGGCGGGGCGGAGCGGCCGCGGGATCAGAGGGCGCCCATCCCAGTGACCTCAGACGTCAGCCTGCGGAGACCAGGGCGGCGGTCACTGCCCGGGGCCGCCCGCGGCCCCTGCCGCGCCGGGGAGCGGACGCCCAGGCCCGGGCCCGGGGCGCCCTGCCCGCCGACCCCGCGTGGGCGCCCCCGGCTCACCGCGCGTTGATGAGGTACTGGGCGAGGCTGATGTTGGCGGGGCTCCCGGTGATGGTGACCTGGCGCTCCGAGGACCCCTCCGTGGCGTTGGCGATCTTGATCTGCGCCCCCGACATCTGCCGGATCTCGTTGATCTTGGTCCCCTGGCGCCCGATGATGCAGCCTATCAGCTGGGAGGAAGGCGCAGCCCTTGGAGGCCCGCAGGCGCCGCCCGCGGACCGGCACCAGCGCTGGCCTCGGTGTCCTCGGGCAGCTCCCGCCTGGGCCTGGGCGAGGCTCCCTTTACTCCCCGTTTTGTGAGCTGCTTCAAGTGGGGTGCACGAGCGTGGAGCTGCGGTGCAGCGCGGGGTCAGCCTGGGCGACCCTCCTGTGGGGCACCCGCACCCGGGAGGCCTGTGCGCAGGGGCGGTCTGACCCCCAGGCCGCTGGACGCAGGAGGAAGAGGCGCAGGGGTGCAGCTGCTCGCCGGCAGCATGGCGGTGGGGGTTGGCGCGAAGGGGAAAGGGCTGAGGACGGCCGGCCCCCCCAGGACAGGGCCGGCCTGCGGCCCGCCGGGGTCAGCTGCTCGCCTGAGTGGCCTCCCGAGGGCCAGGGGTCTCCAGGCCACACAGCCGGCTCCCGGGGCTCCTGGCGCTCAGCTGCTCCCTCCCCGCCCCCTTGTCTGTCGGCCAGGCCCGAGGTCAGGGAGGGTGACCGCACTCCCCTCCTGGGCTCCCGAGGCCCCACACCCTCTGGCTGGACGAGAAATCCTGGGGCTCCCTTCTGACCAGGGCTGGGCAGACCGCTGGTCCCGAGGCCGCAGCCCCTCTAACCTGGGCGCAGCGCTGGCCCACTGAAGGGAGAACAAGACCCAGCACTCAGGAGGCAGCCCCCAGCCTGTCCCTTCCAGGCCTCTGGGAAGTCAGGTTCCTTTGCGCTCCTGCCCCATCCCCTGCAGGGGCGGGCGCTGGGGGCCAGCTGCACAGCCCAGGAGACCCTCCTCTCTGGGCCGGCCCCCCAGGCCGAAGTCGCCATCTTTCCGAGCCTTCTTTGCTCTTGGGGTTCCCCCCTGCCCGAGGGTCTGAGCTGGCTCTGCTGCCTGCATCCAGGGCCAGCCTCAGCCCGCCCCCACGGGGAGTGTCTCCCCTAGATGCCGGTGCTGTGGGGTGTCTGGACATGCACAGCCCCTTAGCTGCCACAGCTGATGTGTCCCCGGGCCACCCAAACCCCCTTTCCAGCAGAGAGCCAGGTGATTCTGGGACCAGGACCAGGGACAGGGACAGGGCCCGGCTCAGGGTGACACCCCAGGAAAGTGTGGGCCGGGCAAGCTCTGCAGGGTGCGAGGGCCAGGAGGACGGGCAGGGCCCTGGTGCACCAGGCGCGGCTCGAAGGCTGTCCAGGCCCTCCTGGGAGGCCAGTGTGTGGGCGGCGGGCACATGACCCGGCCCCTTCCCGCCAGACCCCGCGAGGGCGGGCCACGTGCCGAGGCCATGACAAACACGCCTGGTCTCCCCAGCCGAGGCTTCGGCCTCTTCAGAGGCTCTGTTTAGGGTGACTGCTGGGGTGAGCACCAAACCCGGGCGGCGCGGCTCAGGGACGAGGTCCTGCCCGCAGGTGGGGGAGGTGGGCACACGGCGTGGGGGCTAGGTGGGCGCTCCCTGAGGACGCCTGGCCTGCAGTGGCCCAGCCGGCCTGAAGTGGCCCGCCCCCCGGGCCCGCGCCCCCGCTGAGAGGACTCTGCCTGCCTCCTCCCACCTCTGCAGGACGTGAAGCCTGGGGCTTGGGCGCTCCTAGGACAGGCAGGGGGTTCAGAGGTTGGGGCTAAATACGGATCCCCACAAAGCCGCCCTACCTGGCATCCTGTGCTCCGAGCCCACCCCACCCCGCATGCCAGGGCCACTGAGGCAGGGCAGGCTCAGCCACTCAGGGCAGCCGCAGCTGGGCTCTCAGGCTTCCCGGGCTCGAGCCGGCCGTAAGCCCCCCAGGCTGCTTCTCTGGCTGTGGCACCCCGTGTCTGCACGGGATGAAGCCAGCCAAGCGGTGGGCGTGGGGCGACATACTCACATCATTGGGGATGGTGAGCTCGTGGGTGCTGGCCGGGGGGCTGGCGTCCAGACCTGGGCACACAAGGGGGCAGGTTAGGCCACCGGGGGCTGCTCCCCGGCCCCGCTCAACCCCCACCCCGGGAACCCCAGTCCTAAACTGCTCCCTTGGCCTCGGGCGCCCGGCTCCTCTCCCCCAAGGAGAGCAGGCAAGAGCGCGCTTCTTTGCGCGGGAGACCCGTGATCTGGCGAGTCCACCCGGCTGGGGCGCTGGGGAGCCATGGGGCGGCCCAGGACGCACGGTACCCTGGGGGTCCTCTCTGCGGGCCCAGGTCCCTGCCCTCTGCCCCCGCGCCCGCAGCCAGGGCGCCCCTGTGGCTTGGAGCGAGCCGGAGGCTGGGGGTGAGTGCGGGCACGCAGCTGCCTTTGCGCACAGGTCTCCCAGGTGGGGACGGAGGCCTCCTACACCACCCCACGTCCACCGTCTCTGCCCCGGGGCCTCCCGGCCAAGACACATGGGACGGGGCCTGCACAGAGATGCACCCAGCGCCGCCCCTGCGCCCCCCACACCCCCGCCTGCAGCTCAGGGCCCAGCTCCCATGGCAGCTGACCACTGGCATTCTGGAGCCTGCGCCTCTTCCGCCCCACTGGCCTGCTGTCCCGTCTCTCCTTGGCCCTGGGCGTGCCCCACACAGCTGCGGGGTCCCGCCCATATGCAGGTCAGAAGCCACCAGTGTTCAGACCCGCTCGTCCCACAGCGCCCTTCTGCCTCGCCTCCTGGCCCGGCCTGCCTGGGGGCTTGGTCTGACCTCAGCCTGTTGCCTGCACACCCCTCGCCCAGGCACCTGTGGCCCCACCCTGCACCTCGCTTCTCCCTCCAGGGAGCCTGGACGTCCAAAACCAGGCACCGGGAGTCCTGGGTCTTGGGGCACGAGCGAGCGGGGTATGCAGCTGGGGGCGTCAGCTCCCGGGGGCCATGGCTTTCCTCTGGCCTGGAGAGGCCTGGAGCTCCCCTCCCTCCCTCTGTTGCCCAGAGTGTCTGGCTGCCCAGCTGTCTCCACGCCTCCCATGAACAGGGGTGCCTGAAGGCCACGCCAGATGCCCTTGGTCCCGGCAGAGCCAGGCCTGGCTTGGGTGGCCACCCAGGCATACGCTCCGCCACAGGCGTTCAACTTCCTTTTATGAGGCCACGAACGCAGAACTCGTGCGGTGCAGGCACCTGCTTGAACCCGGCTCGTGCAAGGCCCGCAGCTGCCCGCCCACAGGCGCGACCTGCCGGGGGCGCTGCAGAGTGCAGATGCCCCCACCCCACTTCACCTGCCGTCCAGGGGCTCCAGGAGGCCACCAGCTCATGTCCCTGGGGTGCCAGGCAGGGCGGCAGGATGGGCACACGGCCAGGCCACGGCGGGTGGCTCAGCTGTGCGGCCAGGGCCGCGGGTCCCCAGGAGCCCCTTGCTGGGGGAGGCTGAAATCAGTCACCTGATAAACGCACGTGTGGCCGCCCAGACGCGACTCCTGTCAGGTCTCCTCAACTGGAGACGTTCTCTGGCTGTTTTTCACTTTCACTAGATCGTGCATGAGCACAAGCAAAGACTGCGCCCACAATGCTCAGGTCTCGGGGTCCTGTCTGGCCTTGGAAGTGGTCCCTGAGGTGGACTGGGCCTGTGGGAAGGCCTGGCCATGCCTCAGGGGCCCCTGGGCCCCAAGCACTAAAGGGGAGCAACGGCCACCTCCCCGAAACCTCCTCCTGGAATGCCCCTTCCGCGCAACGGCTGTGCTCTGCCCGGACCTGTGGGGGCCGTGGCGGCAGCCCCCGAGACCTGCGTGGGCCCTTCTCCCTGGCCCCTCCCAAAGGCGCCAAGGACCGCCGGGCCCGCCCCCTGCCAGCGCCCCTCCTCCGAGCCCAGGGTGAGTCTCTGCGCAAGCCGCAGGCGAGCCCCGCACAGCCTCCTCCGCGGGCGGGCGGCCAGGAGGGCGCTCTGGGAAGTGGGCCCTGCGTGGCATCAGCACCACAGCACGGCGCTCGCGCCCAGGCCGCCCCTGTGTCCGCAGCCACCGAGCTCGGCCGGGGCCACGCACCCGCCGGAAGCAGCCGGCAGCGCGTGGACCTGCGGGCTCCACGCGGGCCGGCCCTCCCGGGCGCCTGCGTCCCCTCTCCCCGCCGGCCCGGCGAGCAGCGCCGCGTGGCCTCGCAGCGCGCCAACCGGCTCGGCGCGGCCGCTTTACCTGACGACTGGCCCATCAGATTTTGAGCTTCTTCGGAGGAGTGCAAGGGCAGCTTCTCTCCTGGAGAGCAAGGAAGAGACAGGTGTGAGGTGTTGCCCTCAAGGAGATAAGCAAGTCACTGCAACTAGGGAAGCTCAAAAGATGACGGTGCGGGCTTCCGGCCGCGCCGCCCAGGCCTCGCTGGGCCGTGGGGAGGGGCCCGGTCGGCCGCGGGGCGTGGGGAGGCCCGCCCTGCTCCCGGCGGCGACGGCCCGTCTGCTTCCCAAGGTCAGGGCCGCCCGGCCCGGCGGCGCCGGCTCCCCGCGGAAGGCCCACCCGCCCCCTCACCGAGCGGGGCCCGCGTCGCGCTCCCGGCTGGGGGGCGGACGCGCCGGCGGGAAGGGCCCCGGGACGGCCCGTGGGCCGCACGCAGCGCCGGCCGGCCAGCCCGGGCCTCGAGGGGCAGACGGCGCTGCGCAGCGAGGTGACCGCCCCCCGCCCGCGGCCACCAGCCGGCCGCGCCGACCCCGTACCTGCTGCGCCACCGCCCCCGGCCGCAGCTCGGAAAGGTCCCCGGGCGAGAAGAGGAGGCAGAGGGGGCAGCTGGGTACGTACCGGGGAAAGCGGGGTTGGTCTGTCCGAGGGGAGGAAAGGGGGTTTGCTGCATGGCCAGCTGGTGGAGCTTGGTCAACTGCTGGGGTAGGAGGGACACGAGAGCTAAGAAGGTCATCGTCATCGGGCGCAGGCACCAGTCACGACAGGCAGGCACAGGCTCCGTGCGAGACGGGGGCCGCGCGGACACACGGCGGACGCGGACGTCCAAGGACTTGGCCTGGGAAAGCCAATGGGCGCCGGGCTGCGGGCCGGCTCCTGGCGGCTCCTGGCGGCTCCTCGCGGCCCCTGGCGGCTCCGGCCGAGAACCAGAGCCTCCCACGGAAGCCCGTGCAGAGGTGGGAGCCCCGGACCACGGAGGCGCCCTGGACCCCAGGCCAGGTCAGAGTCGGACCGGCGGGGCCCCGGGGCACGGAGTCCGCCCTGCGCACAGAAGGCCCCGCTTGTCGGGGGGCCCGTCCGCGGCCCCCTCTGCCTGCCCCGCCGCGCCAGGCCTGCAGCTCCCAGGGCGCCCAGCCCCACCCCACCTCGGCACCCCTGTAAGGAGGGGGTGACCGGAGGGTTGCCCTGGGGTTCCGTGGAGGGCGCGTGGAGAGTCCAAGTGGGCCCCCTTGGCTCTCGGTGCCCACCCCCGTTGCTAGATGTTGGGGGGCTTTCCCAGGCGGTTGCTTTAGCTATCTCATCGGAGCCTCACTTCCCTCGTGACCGTGACGAGACAGAGACGAGGCAGCGTGGCCAGACTCGGCCTCTCTCGGGAGCCAGAGGCGGCAGCAGGGCTCCAGGCCCGGCTCTCCGGGGCCACCGGGCTGGTCGTGCTCCAGCTGCAGGCCGGCCCCGCGGCGGAGGGCGGCATGCTCCGGGCAGGTGCGGGGCGCGTGCGGGGGCCCTCCGGCCCGGGACTCTGGGGCAGCGCCACAGGGCACACGCGTGCCCCTGCCCGCACCAGCCCCCTCCACCCACAGAAACACCTGGGAAGGCAGCAACCGAGCCGAAGCCCCAGCACTTCCCAGACGCGCGGCGGGGACCCCAGAGTGGGGCTGGGCCTCCAGAGCCCCCGCGCCCCGCCAGCGCCCAGCCCGCCAGGCGCTCCTCCCAGGGTCCCGAGGCAACCCCTCCTGAGTGTCTCCCCGCTCCGGGCCCACGCTCAGGGGCGCAGTCTGTGGGGATGGGCTTGTGGGGTGCTGGGTGGTCCAGCCTCCACAGGACGGGGCGAGAGTGTCGGAAGGCGCGGGCCCCAGCTACCGCTTCCCAGCGGCCCCGGCTCCCGGCCGTCCTGCGGGCTCCGGCCTCCCGCGGGGGCGGTGCAGCTAACAGCCTGCCCTCCCCGCTTCTGGGGCGGGTGCCCGTCGGGGGTCTGAGACCCGGGAGGCCACTCCGGGCCCAAATGTTGTGCCCGGGGGTCCGGAGTGGTGCGGGTTAGGGGTGGGGCGGCCTGCCCAGGTCTGGAGGCCTGACACCGGCGGGCGTGCCTGGGACGCGCTGTCCCGGGAGGTGGGGCCCTGCCGCTGTGCCGCGGGGAGACGCAGAGCGGCCGGCGACTCCCTTTGGACAGGCCGCGACACCCAAAGGCGGTGGGGGGGGCCAGGAGCCCAAGTCTTGGGGAGCACGGGTCTCGGGGAGCACGGGGGGCTGTGCTCTGCACCCACTGCACGGCAGGGTTCTCACCAGCTCCCAGGACGGAGGAGGACCCGCCCAGGCCGGGAGCAGGGCGCCGCAGGCGCGGTCAGGCCCGGGCCTCCGTGCGGGGCTGGGCTCCGGAGCACGCGGGGTCTCCACACGGACTCGCACGGGCAGGGGCAGGGGCTGCAGGTGCCTGCGGGGTGTGGGCCCCGCCGCCAGGCTGGCGTGCCCCGCAAAAGGAATCCCATATATTTCTCTGCAACCTGCCTTCTCCACTGGGCACAGACAACTCGAAACCCGGGAAGCACCGGGGCCGCACGCGGCGCCGCAAGTGGGTCACGAGCCAGCGAACGCGCCAGGCGGGCGGCGCGTCGGGCCGGCCCCGCGTCTCCTCCCAGATGCCGGCCTCGTGCCCGCCGTCCTGCGGGTTGAGTTTCGCCGGCGCCCAGGACAGCTGTGTGGACCTGGACACGAGCTTTGGTTCACTGTGCTAGGAAGAACTCGACTCGCCCTACAGGGACGTTACAGAAAAATTCTTTGAAGAACTGTATGCCATTCACTTCAGAAAAATTTCCTTCACGGTGTGTGCTGCGGTTTCGCTCAAGAAGAGCTTCTCTGGCCCCGCGCAGAAGGCCGTTCTCCTCGACGTCTCCCGAAAGCCGAAGCTGGTCTCCTCCACGCGGAGGCTGTGGGCACCTGCGCAGGGCTCTGTTTCCCTGGTGGCGATCCGCTTTCCCCGCGCGGAGCAGCCGCCATCCTGGGGTCATGCGGCCGCCCGGCCCCGGCCCCGCACCCTGCGCTGCCAGCTCCGCCAACGGCCAGACTGCGGGAAGCCTGGGTGTCGGGCCCCAGGCACTCCGGTCTGCCCCGCCGGCCTGGCACGCCGCACGCACACCTCGCTGCCGGCGCGTGGCCTGCTGAGAAGTCTCTAAATCCGCTGGGACGAATGACCCTGTCCTAGCGTCTCTTCATAAAAATATGATGATTCTTGGGCTTTTGGTTCTGTACAATGCTTCTTAAAATAGCATTTTAAGGGCCTCCCCTGGTGGCGCAGCGGTTGATCGCTGGGCTGCGAAGCTGCCCACGGCCTCTGCGGCGCTGGTTCGATCCCCGGCTGCTCCCCGGCCACCGGAGGAGGGTCCCGCATGGCGCGCAGACCTCTCCTGCCGCCCGCTGCTCCCCTCAGCAGTGTCCTTCAGTCCTTCTGCCTGCTCTGCTCCCCGCTCTGGCTCTGGTGAATCCTCTCACCCTCCCGCGCGTCTGACTGTGCCCAGTGCTTGTATAAATAAATAAATAAATCTTTTTTTTAAAAAATGGCATTTTAAGATCTTATAGGAATTTTGATTGTAATTATATGGCACTTTACCTCAGTCTGGGAAGAACTGACAGCTTTAAGATACTTAGTTTTCCTGTCCATGAACACGGGAAGCTGCTTCAGTTATTTGGTCTTCTTTAGCTTTCAGTAAAGACCAAGTTGATTTTTTTTGTTATCTTTTAATTACTGATTCAACTTAACTGCTCTGTAGAGAGTATAGTCCACTGACCGCACCTTTTGAAAGACGGTGAGACCTCCTGACGGTCTCGCTGTGATCAGCGTTCGTACATGTGCTCGTGAATCCCACGGTCAGGTTCAACATACATCACTCCAATCGGGATGTCTGCACTGACGTCTTCCTGATGCCCATGTGATCTTTGTGAGAAGAGAGCCAGAGGAAGGTTCTACTGCAGTGTCTCGCGCTCCTGTTTATGCTTCTTCCCGTCACATATCCTTGAATCTGTGTCATCGGTGCGCTGCTTTCTCCTACGGTAGACTGAACTTCTTTTTATCAATATGTATGTGATGACTGAACATAGAGTCTATCTGGTCTCGTGTTTTTTATGTTGATACTTTTATAATGTATTAGGTTTTTCTGATCAGTTTTTCCCCATGTTTAGCCTCGGTCTTCAGGTATGTCTCCTGGGAAAATAAGCTAATTTTTTCCTGCTGTTGTTTGCTTGTCTACTTGTTAAGCTTTAAAAAAAGGAATCTGACGGCCTTTATTTCTCAGTCTGATCACTCACTCGTACGTGTCGCCTGATGTCTGTTACCTTATCTCACACATTAATTTTCCTGGTTTTCTAGGGTTTCTTTCTTCGCTTGCATTGGTTCACAATCCCCCGCCCCCCGCCCGTGCCTTTAGGGGAGCTTTGCAATTGAACTATTTTCTGGTGGTGGCCTCCTGACTGTGTAATTTTCACTTGCACACTTAACGTCTAAATCCAGCGTCTACAGTCTTCCTGGATAACGCAAGGATCTGCGAGATATTTCAGTTCCCTTCAGCCGCATCCTGATCTGGTCCATGCCTCCTGTCCCTTTCGCTCTGCTGCTCTCGCCTCACAGATCAGCAGGAGCACTAGGACGGACAGTACTCGCTTTCACTTAGCAAATGTTGACATTATACAAAACCAGTATTTTAAAAAAAGGCTTGTCCTTAGGAAAGAAGCGGTCACTATCTTCGCTCACCACTTTCCTTCTCCTGAAGGGCAGCCGTTGATCTGCGAACGTGCACCTTAGGCCTGTTTCCACAGGGCTCCCTAGCCTCGTTAGCCTCTTGAGATTTTCAGGCCGACACTTACCAGGATGCCGCCCGCGTCTGTCCTCTCTTGCTGCCGGTGACATTTCATTATCTCACCTTGTTCCTTTGTTGAAATTATTTTTCTCTCTGATGACTTCGACGTTCACGTTCGGTGTCTGGTTGTTACAGTTTTACTTTGATATGCCTGAGAGGAATTCCTTTCAGTTCATCTTGTCTGGGATTTGCTGGGATTCCCGAATATGACAACTGAATTCTTGTATTAGTTCCAAAACTTCTTTAGTGTTTTTCCTTAGAATGTTTCCTCTCTCCATTCTATTCTCTCTTCCTCGAACTCCAGTGGGATATTCTCAGTCCTGCTTGTCAGTGTTTCTCATGTTCACGTGCCCACAAGCCACCGAGAACCTTCTGAAAATGCAGATTCTGGTTCTGAGAAGGGGCAGGCTGGGCCGGCGAGTACTGGCCTATTTGTTGAACCCCTCGGGGGGGTGGTGCAGAGAAAGGAAAGATTTAACTCGAGACCGTGACGGTTGCTGGACTTCTGTTTCGGGGGAGGAAGGACCGTGTGGCTCTGCCCTGGCGGCAGAACGGGGCCAGAGTGGGTCCCGCGGCTGCGTGGGGCAGCGCTGGCTTCTTTTCCACCATGAAACGCGGAGGGCGCCCCCGTCACCCTGCCGCAGGGCTCCAGAGCGGGTGGAGGAGGAGCACCTGCACAGCCCGCCCAGCACACATGCAGCTCCGTGCGTCGGCGGCGACCTGCACAGCCCACAGGCCCGGGAAACACTCCCACCCAGGTCTCCCGGCACCCCGGGTGTTTTTGCTTCCATTATGGCCCCTGGTTTCCAGCACTGCCCTGATTCCTCCCTGAAGAGCACACTTCCTCGAAATGCCTGACGCCCATCTACCGCCTCTGGCGGATCCAGTGGCATGAGGAGCCAGTTGCCCGTTGGCCCGTTAGCTCCAGTGGGTGAACCTCTCAATGCTCCAGCCCCTCAGTGGGAAACTGGAGCAAGCCCTCTGCGCTCAAGTCCAACATGCTGGCATTCAGGGGCCCCTCGACGGGGCGTTTACAAAGGGAATGACTCGGGAACTCTGCAGACTAGAAACAAGTGAGTCCTCCCTGACTCATTTCTTCCAGAAGGAAACATCTCCTCCTGGTGTACTCACGCCGTTGTCATTAAACGACAGAAATGCTGGACGAGAGGGACTTGGCGGTCACCCGCTGTGTCTGGCCAGGCTTCGCGGCTCTCAGGCCGTGGTCGCCGTCCCTTGTCCCGATTTCTGAAACTGCACCTGAACCCCCGGGCAGGACACGGAGGGGGCTTAGGCCCAGAGCTGCTCCCGGAGGACTCTCCGCTGGAGCTGTCCAGCCCGCCTCGGCTTGTCTGGAAAGCTGAGCGTCACCAGCAGAGAAAACTTGCGGGGGATTTGGGTGAAACCATGCAAGTGCCATGAGCGCACGTGGAGGGAAGCCGGGGAGGTGGGGATCCCGCAGATTCCCGGGTGAGGGCCATCTAGAAGCGCTCTTTAAAATCAGGGTCAGAGGAAAACGTCCTTTCAGTTCTAGCTAGAGAAGCACTCAGGCCCGCGACGCCCCCTCCCGGTCTTCTGTGCTTCAGGCCCGCTGTCGAGGACGGCGCCGCACCTGTCGGCTCTGGGCTTGAGGTCCTTAGAGTGTACATTCTCTTGACTACAAAATAAATTAATCTTTCTGTACTGATTGTATTTGGGTTCTAAGAAATGACACATCAAACATTCCTACTAACTCAGACGAAACCTGCCCTCCCTGCCGTCAGCACCGACGTCACCGAACATTTTTTGTTCCGAATGGATTATCCAAGTGATGGCCCCAGCCCCCGACGCTGCCCGCAGGGAAGAAGAGCCTCTCTCCAGGCCCCCACTGCCCCGGGGGGAGCACGGCCCCAGCCACGTGGTCCCGAGGCCAGTGCGCGGGCAGACGCCACGCAGGCCAAGAGACCGGGCACTTCCCCGAGGCACAGGATCAGTCTAGCAGCTGGCTACAAATCAGCGCAGACTAACCCTAAAAATACGCCGACGCCCGCCGTGAGGGGTGACTGGCCCCATGACGCGAGCGCACGAGGACGAGCTGGTGTGAAAATCAACCACCCACGCCCACGCCAGCCCGCACCCAGCAACGGGTCACAGCTGGGACGTTTCGGGCCAGACACGCATTTCTGTGGCCTCCGAGGTCTGTGCCTGAGCGGGTGGCGGGGGCTGCAGGCGCCCACGGCCGCCGTGGGCCGAACAGGACTGCAGGCGGACGAGCTGCCCTTCACCAGGCGGCCCGGTCACCGCACCTCCTCCCTGCCAAGAACCGACGGCCGCGCGGCCACGCCGGTGGTCCCCATTCCGCTCCCTCGGAGTCACCCTCACTGAGGGCAGCGGGGCAGTTACCGGGGAGCCTTGGAGGCTGCGGGACCCCAAGTGTGCTCTACTCAGAGCGTCCTGCACTGGGGGACGCCCCCCCCACCCCATTCTGCCACCTGCCTTCCAGGCAGCTGTCGGCTCTCTGGAGACGGAAGGGCTCCGGAGTTACGGGGCCCGCCCCTGCCGATGCTGGGGTCCCAGGCGTCACCGCCCGCGAGCCTTCGCGGGGACGCCATCCACCCCCTCGGTGAACAAGCAATTCACCCCTTTAAAGCTGCTGATGCACCTCCTCCTCCTCCCAAAGGTGGAACGAGCCGCGCCTTCCCCACCCCACGGCTCCCGAGGGCTGCTGAGCATCTTACGGGAGAACGAGAGCACCCCAGGGACAGAGAGAGTGGGTGGCGGTCACCAGCAGTGGCCGGGCTTCAGCCCCTGTCCTGAGAGGGAGGCCGAGCTGGTGCGGGGGTCGGGGCTGTGGGGCTGCAGCCGTGGGCAGGGGTGGGCAGGGAGGAAGCGCCCAAGCCGGCACCCCCCGAGGGTGTGGATCTGGGGGCCGGGCCTGCTGGTCCCAGGCGGTCCCCCCTTCCCATGTTTAGCGTCAGCCTCAAATCCAGACCAACGTCTCTTCGCTGCCAGTCTGAGCCACGCGGCCATCCTGGCGCCACCGCCCGCCGAATGGTGTTGCAGGGGCCACGCGGGCAGAGGCCCCCCGCAGCAGTGGAGGAGGCCCCCCTCCCCCGCCCGCGCCGCCTGCTGCCCCTCCGGCTCTCTCTGCCTCCGTCTCACTCCATTCTCTCCCGCAGCGGCCAGCCAGACCTCACCCCGGGGGCCTGAAATCCCACAGAGAACACCCCATCGCTGACGGTGGGTCCCCGCGCACAAACCAAGGCTCCCCCCGCAGCTCCCTGTGGGGAGTCTCGTCCTCCTGCACTGGGGTGACAGCCCCACGGCCAGGGGAGAGCGTGAGGAGTGGGCCGGCTCTGGAGCGGTGAGGCCGGTCAGCGGGAGCACCGGGCTGCTGCACCCCCGGCCCCCGACCGGCTCCAGAGGGCGACAGGCCCGGGCCGCGGCCTTCGTCCAGGCCTCTGCCAAGGGAGGGCAGCGTCGCCCACTCCCCAAGGCCCCACCCGCAGCCTGCAAAGACCCGCTGGGGGCACATCCCGCAAGTTCTCAGGCGCCCAAGGAGCGCCTGCCCCCAGCCCGCCAGGCCGGCGTCAGGCAGAACAGCCTCCACGCAAGGCCTCCAGGGCAAAAATCAAACAATTTGACGTCAGGCCAAGTCCTCCACACGAGCAGAGTTAGTGCTAAGAGGTTAAAGGTCACTCGGGGCCATGTGCTACAACACCCGCCAGGGACACCGAGATCATTAACATTACTGTGCAATATTAACACCAGCGGCAGAGGAAGCAGCATGCAGGCGCAAGCGGCCGCGAGCAGGGGAGGCGAAGGGAAACACTCACATCCGGGTGGGGGATGGCGTACTGTCCCTGGATCGTGTAGGCCTGGGGAGAGAGAGACACGGTCAGGGTCAGCTCCGCAAGCGGGGCCCGAGGAACAGGCCTCTCGGGGCCAGAGGGGCAGAGACAAAGGGCCTCGACCAGCACCCTGGGCCGAGGCTCCCGTCGGACCCGGGGGCGCCGCGCCGCCGAGAGCTGTGGGCAGCCCGACTGGCCATGGGGTCGGGGGACCATTCCCCTCTCACTTCCTGCGTTTCCTGAAGGACCAAAGCGCAACCTGAGGCCCGTGACAGACTCAGCTTTTAGCACTTTGAAAATTACTCAACCGTCAGGGTAAACGTTTTGAGGACGTATTTACCCCCAAAACAAAAGGGAAACTTTAAGAGGTGACCCTCGAAGCCAATTTTGCAGACGTCAAACTAAGTCAGAAACGCACCCAAGACAGGTTTGTCTTCCAGCCTCTGCGGCCCGGTGGCAGTTCTGACCGTGGGGTGCACGCGCCACCAGCTCCCAGAGGGACCAGGGTGAGCCCCCAAGGCCTCATTCTGCTTTGCTAGTTCACTGGTCTTCAAGACCGTGATGCCGGCCAGCCAGGCGAGTGTGGGCCCCTCGTCCAACGCAAACCCCACAGGCCAGGCCCCACCCACCCCAACAGGCCCACCATCTAGGACGCGTCCGGAAACCCCCGGCCGAGAACCAAACCCCACACAGAGTCAAGGGAGAGTCAAGACCAGAGACTTGCCTTGGGGCTGCGGGGCCGCGGGACGCCCCAGCCCATCCCCCAGCAATGGGGGGCCACGGTGGGGGAGGAACGTGGCCTCCAGTCGCGGCCCACCGTGTCACCGTGTCCCGAGTGGACACGTGGCGCCCAGCCTCGCCCACACGTGCGCTCCCGCGCACCCGACGGGGACCGAGGCCAGGCACCGTGTCCTCCCCCAAGGTGGCGCCCGCGGGTTAGTCAGACGCAGGTTTTCCACGTGTGAGTTGCCCCGGGAACAGCCCAGCCCGGGCGTTCGAGGCCACGCAGCCACTGGGGGCCTGAGGCCGGTCTGGCCAGGGCCGCTCCATAACTGAGGAGTGAAGGAATCTTATTAGATCTGGCCAGCGTCCCAGCGGGAAGGAAGTGGGGTCCCACCTGCGCCTCTGCGTCTGTTCTGGGGGTGCACAGGCACTGCGCCAGGCGAGGCCCCTGGGGCTGCCCGCGGGGAGCCTCGCCCTCCCCACACTGTTCCCTGACCGGCCTCCGCTCCACGTCCAGTAGGTCCGGCCTCAGCAGCTCGCCGTCCCCAGCAGGCAGCAGCAGAGACTCTCGTGTGAGATGCCAGCAACGCCACCCTGGTGGGCGCGAGTGGGCATCTTCCCACGGAAGAGGCCAGAGGTGGCCACTCCACACCGCACTCCCCGTCTGGAGGTGGCTCCTCTGCCTTGTTGCCGGCAATGCGCCCGGGGTCTGAGCGCCAGGGGCGGCCAGCACGCGCAGACCGCTGTATCCCGAGGGCGTGGTGCCCGGCTCAGACACCGACACTCCAGCGGCCGCCTCGGGCCAGGCGTCCGTGTCAGGGGCGGCCTCGCGGCTCCAGCCGAGTCGGGTCTGCCGCCCCTGCCGCCTGCCGGCGCTGCCTGTGGGAGCCTGACTCCTTCTGGGGTGAAGTCCACGCTTCCCCGTGTGGTAGCGGTAGGGTCCAGACCACACACCACACGTGTGGCTCGCCTGTGAGCTAACCAGGAATTTGGGGGTACATGGAACTGCTGTGCATCCGGCCCATGCTCCCTGAGCTGGCAGGAGTGGGGCGTCCGGGGGGCCGGCAGGGCAGGCCACGGAGGCGGGAGGCGCCAGCTGGCAGCTGGCAGGGTTGGGCGCGTGGCCCTCCCTGCGGTCCCCGCAGACCTGAGCCCCTCCGTCGGGAAGATCTGATAAGATTCCTTCACGTGGCCAAGAAAATCACGGAGCAAACTTCTATTCGCTCCTTGCTTTTTACCGATCAAGGAAAGCCGCTGCCGCCCGCCCCGCCCCGCCCCCCCCCCCCCCCCGGCCGGGCCCGTGCGGGTCTCGGTCTTCACTCTCCCCGGACAAAGACACACGTGCTGCCGGCCGGACGCAGAGCTCCTCCAGGCGCCGCTGGCCAAGTCCACCCCTGCCCGGCTGCGGGGGCCCTGAGCCGTGCGCCCTGCCTCCCTCGCCCCGTGCTCTGGGCACCTGCTCGCGGCAAGCGGGATCCTCGGCCTCGCCACCTTTACTGCCGCAAGCACGCGCCGGCCACCTGCCTCGCTCCCAGCCTGCGGCCCGGGCTGCCGAACACGCTCCCCAGCGAGACCGGGGCGGCTCTGCGGGGCAGAGCCCGTGGAAGCCCGGAACGAGGCCCGGCCAGGCAGGGGCGCGGGGCCCGGGGCGCGCGCTGCTCCTCCCCGAGGGCCTGGGGGGCCGGGAGAGCTCTGCGTCAGCACGGGGGGTCACGTGCACGTGAGAAGGCGAGAAAACCTGAGTGCACTAACGGGCAGCGGCGGGTGCTGCAGTAAAAGGCTGAGGTTGGCAGTGGAGGCCGCGAGCGGGTCGGCTCTTACCTGACCACCTGCAAAAATGACAGGGGTGGAGGCGGGCTTTGGGCGGTAGGGAATGGTGGCACCTTTCGGTGGGGACTAGGAAAAGGGACAGGAGAGGGAGAGAGAGCGTTAGAGCGGTCCGGCGCGCGCGGCCCTGACGCCGGGGACGCTTCCTTCCCGGGCCCACCCCCGCGCCCGCGGCTTTCTGCTCCCTGGGCCTCCGCGGTGCCGCAGGGGTGGGGGCTCCCCTCTCCTCCAGCACAGAACTGCTGCCCGAACTGTGCCCCGCTGCGGTGCCAACCACCTCCGCAGAACGGGCTTTTGGGGCGCGCAGGGTGGACCCCTGGGCGGAACCGGACAGAAGACGCCGCCCTGCCCGCCCAGACACAGGTGACAGCCGCCTCCAGGGCCCAGCGCGGCGTCCGCGCACGCGGGCTCGTCCTCTGGGCCAGGACCTTTCTCTGATGCCCCGAGCAGCATCACCGGGGCTCCAGCGCCCCAAATAGGCTCTGCGTGGCCTGGGCCGTGCTCAGTCCCATCGCAGGGAAATGAGAAGCTTCCAATTTCGCTACTAAGAAAGGGAGGGACTTCTTCAAAAGCTGGGAGTCCAAGCTCTAAGCCGCAGGCGTGATGAGCTGCAGTCACGTCCTTGGCTGACCCCGTGCCCAAAACACAGGATGTGCCGGGATGCGCGACGCCCTCCGGTCCTGGGATTCCGACGCCAGCACGCCTGGGCCCCCGCCGGGTCCCCGAGGGCGGGCCTCCCGGAGCAGAGGGTGCCAGGCCTGGGAGTGGGTCGGGAATCCCAAGGCGGCGGCGCCACGGGCCAGAGGCAGAGGGTGAGGGCGGGACAGCCGTCCCTGCCGGGAGTGCTGGGGCCACGGTCTGCTCAGGCCCGTCTCGTCTCAGCCCATCGGCGCGCCCTGAGGGCGCCCACCACAGGGACCCAGCCAGGCCCTGCTGGGACCCTCGGTCTCCGGCGCAGCCGCGAGCACGCGACGCCGTCGCTGCGAGGAGGGGAGGGCCGCCGAGGCTGACTCAGGCGGAGGCCTGGCGAGACCCCGGTTCCCGGGGGGGCCATCTTCAGGACTCATGGGGCTCTAGAAACATCTCCAGCGGTATCTCCGCAGACCGGGTTTGCTGGGGTCTCAGGCTAGACTCGCGTTCACGCGACGGGACCGCGACTACACTGAGCGCGCGGCGGCCGTTCTGGCCCTGGAAGGCAGACAGCTCATCGGGGCTGCCCTCCTGCCCTCCGCCGTGCCCGCCTCCGGGCTGCCCTCTGCTTCCACTTGCCGCCACTGGCCTGATTCCTGGTTCCCAGTCTTGCCGAGCTCCTGAGACACAGGCGAGGCCTCTGAGCACAGCCTCCCCGCCCCCCGCCCGGCTCCCACCAGCCTCCTCCTCCCCAGCCCCACCGGGCGGGAGCCCCTCGGGACCCAGGGCCTGTCCACAGTAGGGCAGCCTTTGTGGGTCATGTCAGGGTGGCGCCCGCCGCGCAGCTCTGCCTGAAAGTCCTCCAGCCTCGTGTCCAGTTGCCCTTCGTGTCAACGGCGGACCCAAGGTTTGCGGAGGGGAGGCGGCCGCGGGTCTGGCCCTGAGCGCCTGGTGACGGGAACAGGCGGAAGGCGCCGCCCCAGGAGGCCGGAGAGTTACGCTTCCCCTGGGCCAGGCGCGCCTCACTCTGCCGCCTGACTTAAGCTCCCTGGAGGGCGACGGGGCAGTTCCGCCCGCAGCCCGGGGTCCACCTGTTTCTGTGGGGGCGGCATCTGCCCCACACGGGGAGCTGGCGTGGCCTTTGGGAGAAGCGCTGACCTTAGTCCGGGATGTCGGAGACCCTGTCCCTTCTGGGCCATTCCCGCCCCCTGCTCCTGGGGCGCCCGCCACACAGGCAAGTTCTTTCTCGACTCCTCGGGGTCCCACCCGGGACGGTCAGTTGGCTCCCAGCTGCCCACGCAGCCCTCTGGGGCAGCACCAGTGGTCACGGGACTAGTGTATGGGGGTGGGGGGCTCAGAACACCAACTTAGAAAAGACTTTTTGGCGTCACAAAACATCGTACTGCGAGGGAATAAAAAATATACAAAAGGCGTGAAAGGCACGTGGTTCTAGCACTGCGTGCGAGCCTGGGGTCGCCTGGGAGCAGACCCCGGGGCGCAGCCGGCGTGGGCGCAGCAGGGCAAGCAGCCGGCACCAGCGGCACGGCGGCACCCGCCTCAAGCAGGGTCACGTCGTCCCAGCGTAAGGACAGCACCCCCGGCCACCCGGGGGAGCTCTGCGGCTTCCGGGTATTGACTGACGCGCGATTTCCGCGACAGCCTTTCAAGAGAGGCAGCCTGCCCAGCTGCGCCTCCTCGCTGACCTCCAGGGCGCGCTGTTTGCTTCGCGGGCCCTCCCTCTACTACGTGGGCGACTGCCCGGGTTCGGTCCTCCGGCCTCAGCGGCGGTGCTGACCGCAGACCGAGCGAGCTGGGGCGCCACCTGCCTGCCCCGGTGGGCGCGGCAGTGCGGCTTCCCAGGCCCGCCGGTATTCAGCGCCCTCACGCAGACTCTTCCCTCCACACAATTCCAGAAACCAGGGGAGAGGGGTGACCTTCCTACGCTATTCTCTTCAGTGGAGACACTGGGCCCTCCGGGTTGGCAGGTGCCACTGCCTGCCCCCCAAAGCACCCACACATCCAGCATGGCTCTCCCTCAGGCCGCTGGGAGCCTGGGTGGCTCCTGACTCCGGCCTGACTGCCCTGACCACAGGGATCCTCCAGGACCACAGGGATCCTCCAGGCCCCCAGGCACCAAGCCTCAGGGGCCCAGGGCGGGGCCGACTCTACCTCCAGCATCACCACACAGATCTGCTTGACGCACTGGATGATGGCGTCGGGAGTCCCCGAGATGGTCACTGCCCTCTCCGTGGAGTTGGGCAGCATGTCCCCGGCCACCTGGACCTGGGCACCTGTGGACTAGAGAGAGCAGAGGTTGGCAGAGGTGGCAGAGCAGCTGGGCTCTCTCGCGGGAGCGTGGAAGGAGAAGCCCATGTAAAAACCCAGCAGACATGGTCCCCCACGGCACCCCCCTCAGCCGTGCCTGGGCACCCAGGCCCCTTCGTGATCCTCAGGGACTCCAGGGACAGGTTTGACCCATCTCAGGCCACTGCCGCCCAGCACAGGCCTGGCACAGAAGCCACCCAGGACCGAAGCCACTTTTGCAAACACACAGAGCTCTGGCTCCTCTGTGGAGCTTTAGGTCACAGAGAAAGTCTAGTTGTGGAGCCGTCTCTCCTCAAAGGACTCCAGACGCTGCCACCCTCCTCCTGGGTCAGGGGAGGGCTCAGGACCCCCCCCCCAAGGGAGATGGCTGCGAAGCTCGTGCTGACTCCATCCTGGCTGGGTGGCCAGTGCCTTCCAGGAGCCACGTCCTGAGGGCACGTCCTGGGGCAGCAACCACCTGACCTGTGCTGAGAGGCCCCTCCTCCACGCCTTCCTGCAGGACCCCACAGGTAGGGGTTCGCCTTTCACTCTGCTCTGTGGGCTGTTCGCCCCTGTGCCGTTCCTAGCCCGTGGGGTGCCGTGATGGGGCCCAGTCGTCCTCAGGAGGCCGCACCTCCCCAGGGTGCCTCTCCCACCCAGCAGCCAGGCAGGGATCGGGTGGGGAGCTGTTACCTCCCTGATCTCCTTGATCTTGGAGCCGCCTTTGCCAATCAGGGACCCGCACTGGCTAGCGGGGACCACCAAGCGAAGCGTCACCGGGGGCTTGCTGGTGGCAGGGCTGTTGCTCATGGAGTTAATGATGTCCTGAGGAGAATCAGGACACCATGTTGGCCACACAGCTGGCCCTTGAGTGAGTACCCCCGCCAGGCTGTGAGGAGGCCTCGGAGGGTGCGCCTGGCACCCCAACAGGCGGGCAGGCTCAGGCACGGGCTCCAGACACCAAGGGCTGATCCTGAGAAGCTCAAGGTCAACGGCGGGGAAGACACTGTGGAGACACAGGTGCTCCCACCGGGGGCGATGCTGCGTGTGCACAGGGCAGCGCATGGCGGCCAGGCCACGCACCAGGGTGGACGAGAGGGGACCCGCACAGGGGACCCCAGCGGGCACATCCGCGTGGTCACTGGGGACTGGACCCGGCCAGGGGCCAGAAGCCCCAAATCGGCCCTGATCTCTGTTTAACCCAGCCCGTGGCACGGGTTTGACGAACAAAAAAACTGTTTCCCGCGAATACAGATACCAAACGTGTCTCCAAATGACTCGTGGCAACTACAAAAAAATCAGGAACATAAAAACCCACAGCTGACACTCGCTGGCAGCAGCACACGCACGCACTCCCGGAGCTGCACGGGCGCTACACCCTCCAGCACGAGGACGTACACCTAAGCCCGGGTGTGTGGCCCGGGGCAGCCGCTGCGGACGCGCTGCCCGGGCCTCCTCGGGACTCCGCACACTGGAGATCGGGCCTGAGCACAGGCCAGTGCACGACAGGCAGAGCCAACAGCTGGCCTGTGGCGGGGCGCGGGCAGGCAGGCCCACCACCGGGAGGACAGAGCGGGACAGGTCCTGGGAGGCAGTGGCTGAGGTGTCCGCACAAGCAGACCCTCCAAGTGCCCATCACAGGGGCCTGGGGGCAGGAGCACGTCTTACCTCCTCAAACTTGTAGGCGATCATGGCAAAGGCCTTGAAGATGGCGTCTGTTGGGCCTGTGATGGTCACAATCCTCTCTGGGCAGTTTCCCTCTGAGATGTTGATCCGTGCGCCGCTCTAGAAGAATGCAGCGAGTCCCAGAAACGCGATCAAAGCTGCGGGTCTGGTGACGTGGGGGGCCCCGCAGGCCCACTGAAGACCGGGGTGATCACATCCGCGGGCGCCTAGTGGGCCAGCCTCACCAGCTGGAACATTCTAGTTCCCTCTCTTTGGAGGGTGTTTTTAATGATCAGGAAGGATCCAAGCACCGGGACAGATGCAGGTGCCCTGGCGTTTGCCTGGGAAACAGAGGCCCTTGAACCGCGGGGGCATGCGGTCGCGGGAAGGGGCCCCACGCTGCCGCTGCCAGGGGCTCGGCGGGGCTCAGCCTTCTGGAAGGGCTCCCGGCAAAGCCACTGAGGAGCCACCAGCTTCTGCAGCCCCCACCTCCCGGCCCCAGGAAGTGTTGGGGGCAAACCACACCTACCTCTTCACGCATCTTTTTCACAGTTTCTCCTTTCTGGAAAAGAGATTAGACGAGGGGAAGGGGTCACTCGGGGCTCCCACCGGGGCAGGCAGAAGGCCTGGCCCTGCAGTGCGTGGTGTCGGGAGCCCTGGGGCCCACCCCTCAGGAGCCTGACTCAATTCGGGGGCCGAGGGCCCCACTGTCCCCCCGGACACACGCTGTGCGGGGCGCTCGAGCAGGACATTGGGAGCCGACACGCACAAGCAGCCCCGGGACCGGTCTGCACTGGGGCTGCCCCTGCACCTATGAGGGAGCCAGATTCCCAGTGTCCAGGGACACTCAGGACCCAAGCGAGTGTCCAGGTGCAGCCAGACCAGGCGGGTGGGGGGCCTGTCTGGCCTCCCCCACAGGGAACGGGCCGCCACGCTGGCCCTTGCTGTGCTGTGGGAGCGTTTCTCTCCTCGGAGCTGGCAACACAGACTCTACCGCTCGCGGGTAGAGGGGAGTCTGACCCCGCAGGACGAAATGAAATGGTTCTCACTGGGTTCTGGAAACTTGAAGGACTGGCCCCAGGGCAGCCGAGGAAGCCAGGCAGGCTGGCAGCGCGGCCCAGGCTGCTCCCGGTCCTCGGCAGGTGCTCGGACAGCTGCCAGGGGCAGGGGCAGCTGCAGGGCGAGGAGACGCGGGGACCCTCCTGCTCAGCCGCCCCGGCCCGCCCCCCACCCTGCACGCAGTGCCGACGCCCTGGTAGCCACCCCCCGCCCCCGAGATGCTGAGCGAGCCGGGGTCCACTCATAATTACCTTCCCGATGATGCTCCCGACTTCCTGTAGGAGACAACCAGAGAGACGCTGTCACGGGGCAGGAGAGAAGCCAGAGGCGGATGCGGAGCCCTGGCCTCGTCCTCGACAGGAGGGAGGGGGAGCCCGGACGCAGGTCGGGCGAGAGTAGCTGGGCTGCCGGGCAGAGCCTGGCGCCCCGACAGGAATCTGTGCCCATCTAAGCTCGGCCAGAGCCTCGCCCTGACTGCCCGGCAGACAGACGAGCAGGAAAACGGTCACTACTTTCCGGACCGCTCCGTCAGGAGGCGGCGTCTGCACACCTACGGCCTCGAGGATCGGCGGCAGGAAAACCCTGCCGGGACGCGGGGAGGCTCTTCCCCGACTTGGCCGTGCACGGGGCCCGCATCGAGACCGTCACGTCACCTTCACAAAGGGAGGAACATTCCAGAGCAGAGCGGCCCGGGACGCAGGGAGGTTCTAGGCCTGAGCTGTGAGGGCCGCAGACTCCCCGCCGCCGCCCAGTCAGAGGCGGGGCCGGCGGGACGCCCGGCGGAGAGGACGACCTTCTCAGCCTCCCACTCATTTCCCCGCACGGCCACGCTCCCCACGAGGACAGTGCTGCCGGCGAAAGCTCCAGACCCCGCCGGGCTGTGGGGAGGGCAGCGCAAGGGGAGCAGCGGGCACCAGGCCGTGACACTCACGGCCCCTTGGCCGCACGAGTCTGGTGCTTACTGCACAGCTGCTTCTGGGGGTGGCACCGTAGAGCTGCCCTGTGGACACCCTCTGTGGACACCAAGCTGCCCACCTGACCAAGTGCCCCTCCCGCTGGGGAGGTGGCTGGCTGCCAGGTCTCCAGCCCAGCGGGGAGGGCGGGGTGCGAGCCCTGGGCCCCAGGAGGCCTCTGCCGCCTCGCAGGACACCACGCAGGGCCAGGCGGGAGCAGCTAGGACCAGCCCCGCGTCGGCCTGGAACTGGAGGAAGAGCTCACGGGGCCCGGCAGAGGGACACACGACGCGCACGCGTGCATGCGGCTGTCTGCGCGTGACCACACGCGCGCTCCCCAGCTCGGCCGGGGCCCACCGCGAGCCCCTCCACGCCGAGGACCGAGGTTCCTCTGGAGGCAAGGCTGACTGCAGCCCGGGCAGGCGGGCAGGGCACGGGCGCGCCCAGGACGAGAGCCGCGCAGAGGCCACCACGCCAGCCCGAGAGGCTGCTCACGCCCACGCAGGGACGAAGGCGCCTTGACAGACGTCGGCGCGGGGAGCGACAGGAGCAGAATGGGCAGCCCTGGGCCCATGGGGACGGGGGGATGAACTCGCACGCCAGGCACCCCCACGGCTCCTGAGCGCCTCACAGGGACCCCTGACAACGGAGGAGGAGCCCCCATCCAGAGAGCACCTGAGATCTGGGCCCCCGGAAGGAAAACCCTGACGTTCCTGCCAGGGAAGAGGCCTCAGAGAAGCCAGTGTGAGGGCGGCGCCCCGCGGCAGCCGGGGAGTCTCAGAAGAGGAAGGCCCAGACCACGGGGAACCCCACCAGGCGAGGGGGCGCACAGGGAGAGCAGGCCGGGGTGGCCTTCGCGTGTGCACAGGGTGCTGGCGCCGGGGTGGGGTGTGGGGCGGCGGGCAGGACACCCCCCCCCTTGCAAGAAATATGCGGGGAGAAAACACGGAGGAGCGGGTTGGTGACAGGGCGCTGGGGGGGCACTGAGGCCACGGGCCCGCGACCCGCCGCGGCTCTCCGCCAGGGATGGCTCAGAAGAAAGGCCCAGCGGGGCGCCGCGCTGCCCCCCCAGGGGCGACTCCTCCCGAGGGCGCGGGCGCGGGCGCCTACCTTCCCGTGCATCAGCAGGCGGATGGTGAGCGTCACGTTCAGGCCGCCCTCGGACACCTTGGACTCCATGGCTCCTCCGCAGTGCGGCTGGGGGCGGCGGCTGGGGGCGCGGCGGGCGCGGCGAGGAAGGACAGACGCGGCCCAGGTGGCGTCCCCTGGGGGGAGAAGGCCCGGCTAACTGGAGCAAGGCCGGGGCTCGGGCCCCTGGCCCGGCCCGCAAGGCCCTGCGTGCCGGAGGGGCGGCCCTGGCACTGCTGCCCAGACACGCGGGGAGGCGGGGGCTGCCCGGGCGCCGAGGGCTGCCCAAGGCGGGTGAGCTCGGTGCTCGCCCCACAGCTGACCGCCTGGCCCCGGCCTCAGGGTCCGCCTGGGCAGAGGCCGGACGGGGGAGGGGCGCGGGGCTCCCGCGAGGCCGTCCCAGCTCTGCCCTTTGCCACCAGCTGGGCAGGCACCCCCTCCCGCTGGGACGCCCCACGCCCTCGCAGTCGGGCGACTGGGGTGGGGAGGCCTGTCGGGGCCAGGGCGCCTCGGCCACCCTCTCCCGAAGTGGGCTGAGTACTCCTGACCACACTGCGAGGCGCCGGGCGCGCCCTCCAGCACCCCGAAGCCCCTCCGCGCCCCTCTGGCTGCTGCGCAGCCGGGACTCTGGCGGGCGGCCCCTGGGAGCCCACCCGGGGAGGCCGCGGCCGGTGCCCTGGGGCCGGGAGGCGCAGGCGGGGGCAGCGCTGACTTGTGCCCGGGGGACCCGGCTGGGGTGGGGGGCCTGGGGACCCCCTGGGGAGCGCCAGGCCCTCACCCGAGCACAGGGCGCAGAGCTGGGCGGGGGACGGGGAGCAGGGAAGGACGGAGAGGCCTCGGGCGGAGCACTTGGGCCCGAGCCCGGGGCGCAGCCAGGCGGTGCAGACAGCTGCCGTGGGGTGCAGCCTCCGGCGTCTGTGGCGCGGGGGCATCCATGCCGCAGGTGGGCGAGGAGGGGGTGCAGGGCAGGTCCAGACAAGACCCACCAGCCTGGCGAGGGGTGGGCGCGGGGCAGTGGCAACAGGCTGACCCCGAGGTGCCCTGGGCAGAGCGGAGAGTCGCGGGAGGCGCGGAGCGTGCCTGGGCAGGGCAACCTGGCCGCCCGAGCGCCCCCGCCCAGGCAGCCACACACCTGCCCAGGTGTGCCCAGGCGGCGGCCCGCGGAGGGGGTCAGGAAGCCCCTGGCCAGCTCCACGGCGCAGGGGTCACCGCGGTGGGGTCCGAGCCGGCGGGCAGGGGACACTCCCGGGCAGCTGCGCTGGGGCTGCTCATATAGCCGTGGGGGCGGGGCCAGGGCCGTTTTATGCAAATGAGGGCTTCAGTTGCGCAGTTCTGATTGGTGGGACGTTTGCCACGGGGTGATTGGTTGAATTTCAACCCTGGGCGTGGCTTGCCCAGGGGTGGCTGCAGCTGGCCATGGATGCAGCTGCACAGCCCCCACAAGGGGGTGTAGGGGGTGTGGGGGGGTGTGGGGGGTGCGCCTGGACAGTCTGCACAGCCCCATGCACCCGTACCCTGGACACACACACACACACATACCCCACGCGCCCAGGCCCTGGGCACAGACACGCGCACACACACGCACACACGCCCGGGCCCTGCAGTGCCTGCCCATGACCCTCGAGCCTCCAGGCATGGATGGCTCTCGCTCACTTTTCTTGTTTTATTTCTCACCACCCGCCACGTAGCTGCAAAGGGAAGCAAAGTCCCTGGGCTGCACCCCTTGGGCTCCCTGGACACTGGCCCCTTGATTAGACTGTAAAGATGACACTGCAGGTTGGAAGAACTAGACTTCTCTTTCACTTTACAGGTTTTGGGGGGCAGAAATGTTTTCTTCCCGAAAGCATTGCTGCTGAAAATGTGCTAAAAGGAAAACAGCGCGCAGCGAGCAAGCGCACGCAGCGCTGTGGACACATGGAGACCCTGCGGGCGGCCCAGGCAACGGCCAGGTCGGCCTTGCGTGCTCAGAGACGGGCACCTTCCGCGCACTCGGCCTGTTAGTTCCAATTACGTGTAATAAAGTAACGCTTCAGTAACCAGGGCTTTAATACGAAGTATGATGGGAAGTGACACGTCCTTACGTATTAACCTCACCATCCTCACTGTCGGGGTGGTGACCGCCAGCCGCACGTGGCCATTTGCCTTTGAAATAAAATTCGCCACCCACGCTTTAAGTCAAATCGACAGCCTCTGTCGCCAGTGATGTGAGCGGACAGTGGGGTGTGCTGTCCCGGGGCGTGGGGGGCAGCGTGCGACCGGCCGTCGCCGGGGGTGTAGCGGCCTTCCGAGGGCACAGTCCTCTCCGCAGGCCCAGACCCCCACTGGCAGGCAGGGGCTCCAGCCCCCCTTTTTAATTAGAAGCGTCTTCTCCTGTGTCGGGGACAGAGCCCCGCGGCGCTGGTTATGCAAGCGCCCCAGCCGGCGGTGGGAAAGTGGGTCAGCCAGCGCCAGGGAGCTCCGGGCTCCGGGCTGTCACCTCCCATCAGTCACAGGCCAGTGAGCAGGCTGCACGGGTCAGCGGCCTGGAGCATGTGTCTCAGCCCTCTGCAGACAGAGGGGACCAGGGCAGCATGGGGGGGTTCAGGTCACCTTGACTCGTGCCTTTGGCTCTTCAGGGCCCACCCGCCCAGCTGGGGTGCATGGGGCACGGGGCAGCTTCTGGCCATGGGCCTCGTGGCAGGGGCGACGTCTGGTGTGGCCTGGTACCCCTGACCATCCGAAGCCGCCCTGAGAGCCCACTTAGCCCCGTCCCTCCCTGCGTCGTGTGGGGTCCAGGACAGCTGCGGGGGCCACAGAAGAGTGCAGGTACACTGGGGTGTTCCAGAAGCAGCAGCAGCCACCTCCTCTGGGTACAGTTGCCCCAAACCAAGTGTGATTAGCAATCTCTTCCGCCACCCACGCCTCCCCACGCTGCATGCCCAGGGTTGACTGCCCAGGTCCACCGAGAGGCTCCCGGCGACCGCACCCATTTGTAATTCACTCGGTGGGGGCAGGAGAACGGGCAGGGAGCCCTCGGGCCGGGGGGCTCCGGGCCGGGCTCAGCGCAGCCTTCGCCCAAACAGCCGGCGCCCGGCCTGTGACTGCCCCGCGCTCCTCCGTCTCCTGGTCCCCTGCGTCCGTCGCCCACCGCGTGCGCCCCGCACGCGACCCGCACCCGCTCCGGCCGCCAGCAAATCCCGAGCACAGACGCGGGCTCAACTGACCTTTATCTAGTTTCTGAAGAAGGAAAATGAAGCCCAGCCGAGCCCGGTTCACACCCCTCCCTTTCCCCCTCCCCTCCCCCGTCCCCCCCACCCCGCGCCCCGCTCACCCCCTCTCCCCTGCTCCCCCCTCCGTTCAGCTGCGCTGCGCAAAGCTCAGTATTTGTGCTCTTTGCACTCATTTAAAATACTGTCAGGGCCTCCCTGGTGGCGCAGCGGGTTGAGCGCAGCCTCTGCAGCGCCGGTTCGATCCCCGCCGGCCGCGGAGCAACCTACACGGGCAGCAGACTCCTCCTCCCCGCTGCTCCCCCCGGCAGTGCGTTCCAGTTCATCTGCCTGTTGGGCTCCCTGCTCTGTCTCTGGGGAGTCCTCTGAGCCTCCCGCACATCTGGCCTGTACCTCATTCTTGTGTAAACAAAGAAATCTTAAAACTATATAAAACAAAATACTTCCAAATTTTCCTTTTGATTTTTTGATTCACGGGACATCTTGGAAGATGTTCCTGAGTTACGAACAGTTGCAGGTTTTTCCACGGCGCTTTCCTCTCTAGGTGGACTCCACACCAGCCAGCATGTTGTGCAACCCTCGAGATGCTCTGAGTCCACCGAGACTTGCCCGGGGCTGGAATTCCATCCGTCCTGGTGACCACGTGCCCTGTCCCTGGGGAGCATCTAGCGGAGCAGAGCGCGTCTCCCGTGCCCTGCCAGCGGATGGCTGCAGCTCAGTTAAGGGCACGTGAGGGTGCAGCGGGGTGCAGCAGGCGCTCAGGGTCCTTCCCAGGTCTCAGATGGGCCCTGGGGACACGGTCGCTGCACAGGGTCTGGCACGCAAGCCCGCACCCCCGGCCCGGGGAGGACCCGCAGCCCTGCACCGGCCCACGGCCGAACCTACACGGAGCAGCGAGCCACACGGGGGCCGGGGCCAGCTCTCCCAAGGGACGCAGACATGCAGGCAGCAGCTGAAACCCACCTCCGCGTCACGGGCATTCCCAGCGGCGCCGATGCAGCCAGCGTCGCCCTGCGAGCGCCTCCCGCGGACACGGCGGCTGCGCCAGGAAGGGCCGTGCAGCCGGCCTTGCCTTCTGCTCTGTCTCGCGCGGGCAGGCAGCGGCCCGGACACCCAGCAGGCAGGACACGCCCTGACGAGAGGCCTGCAGGCGGGCTCCCCACAGACACGACCTTTGACAGCACGGCTCACGCCAGACGCGCTTGGAACGGCCCCCACGGCCACAGACCCCAGGGTCTGGGTCTCCACACTCCCCAGCGCGACCAGGCCCGCAGCCCACACTACACGGGTGGTGTCAGGGAGGCGCCCTGGTCCCCTCCGGTGGGGCCTGTGCCCTGCGAGAGCAGTAACGGGGCACCTGGCTCTCCCAGACACGAGGCCGCAGCAGGCCGAGGGGCAGGGGCCGGAAAGGAGCGGGCCGCAGGGCTGGGCGGGCAGCAACCAGCAGGCCAGGCCTCCACGGGGCTCGAGGGGCAGAGGTGCCAGGTTCCTGGCAGATGCCTCCAGGAGCAACTGGGGGTGTTCTTTAATGAGGGGGTGACATAAAGACTCGGCAGAGAATAGAAACTCTCACTAAAGAGACGGATGCAAAGAGCTTCACAGAAACCGCAGATCTGAAAATGCTGCAAGAGCGGAGGGTCAGCGGGGAGGGCTGGGCCGGCCGCCCAGGGCCGGGGCCTACGACCGCCCCAGACACAAAACTGAGGCAGCCACTGGGAGCACCCCAACTCTGGCAGAGGGCTAGCCCTGCATGTCAGGCAGTGGCGGGAGCGCCACGCAGGATAAGCCAACGGCGTCCACAGACGCTGGCCACGGCCGAGCCCGCAGCAGAGAGACCGGCCGCCCGGCAGCGGGAGAAGGTCCCGCGGGAGACACGCCTCAGGAGGGCCGGGGGTCAGACTCCAGGAGACGGCTGCGGGGGCTCT